CTCTCTCTCTCTCTCTCTCTCTCTTCCTCCCTCTCTCTCTCATTCTTTGACACTGGTAACACTGCTGACAGCTGATTCCATTCATTCATTCTTCTTGGGACTGTTTGTTTGAATGACTGGATATTGGCTGTCCTTCTCAGGGCAAGACTAAACCACCTTGGCCATTTTGTAATCCTTTTTGTTTGGTGTGTGTTTCTAGCAGGTCCTAGCACCCGGAGAGCCATCAGGTTGCAGATGAATAACAGAGTGATTCCTGGTTTAAGCCACCTCCAGCCACCTAAACTGGCCACTGTACAGCTAATAGCACAAGCTAGTCAAACTGTCCCCCTTCCTTAGTTCAGCATGAAAAGACAGGGAGAACCTAGAACCAGCAATCCCCATGCTCTGTACCTGAAGGACTATTGCAGCTGCATGCAGTCACCACAAAAACACAAGAAGGGCCCTTCTCACTGAAATTCCACTCTGAAGGGCCCATTCAGGTGGCTTGGAGAGAGAGGTGGAAGCCAGTGGGTTTCATGGACTGGCCATGGGAGCAGGGTGGGGGCTGCTCTTCCACTCCCCTCTCTCCCCTCTAGGCTTTGTCCTTACTTGCTCTCTGCCCTTTCCCACCAGTCCTTTTCCCTCATATTCCTCTGCCCAGCACTCCTCTTCCACATATCCATTTCCATCTCTCCATTCACACCAGAACAAAACAGGAATTCTGCAGCAAAATTGCTTTCAGGTAGCCATATTTCCTTCATTTGTTCTTAAATCTGAAAACCATTGACACCTACCCTCAGCTTCTGTACATCCCAGTTGACTTGTGCTTACTGAAACTTGCATCTCTCATGACAAGTAACCTCTTCTTTCATCTTTATGAGGCTCACTTTGACCTCCTTAGAATTTCTTTCTCCTTTGCCATCTCCAGTGCCTTTAAGATTCAGCATCTCATGACTCCTCCACAGCTAGCAGGCCACACTTCAGTTATGTGCAGGTCTCCTGGTGGGAAAGGAGACAAAAAGATACTAAGAAGCCCACCTACTCTTGACCTGCACATCCTGGCTCCTGGCCATGAACTTGGTGTCTATTGTCTCTAGAAACTCATGACTCCTGCCATTCTCAGTTCTCTGTGTACAGCATGCCCTAGGTGACCTCCAGTTCTCAGCAACAAAACACCAATCCCTCAGTCTTTGGCCACACCATGACACTGTCCCGACAGAACCAACTGTCCTGTCTTACAGTCAGACAGAGAAGCAGAGCTTGAGCGGGGACAGGGGGCTGTCAGTTGGACCCAGAACTTCAGGTGGCTTGGAGTGGAATTTATATCAGAGATTTGAAAATAAATAAATAAAGCAAGCGTTCCTGTGGCAGAGCAGCCAGTAAAAGATTCATGTATCCCCATGACATTGCACTGACCCTGTTTCAGTGTGACATGGAATCGCAATGACCCTGGTATCATGGCCATTGCTTCTCAATGGCAGCCCTTCGGATGGGGCATCCTCTACAAGGCCAAGAGCCAATCTTTCCTAGAGGGCATCAGAGGATTGTCTGCCCCTTTTCAAAGTCAACACAACAAAGGCAGCATAGCCATGACCCATGACCCCTTCAAAATGCTCTCTAGCCCCTGATCTCAAGAGGATGTCCTGGAAGACAACTTGGTTGGATATTCTAGCCTACCTACCTGCTGCCCCACCCTGAATTCCTAGTAATCCTTACCGCCTGGCTATGCTTTAAAAATATTTTTAAAACTTTTTTATATGATGAAAAGCTACTTTTCAACTACCTTTTAACTCTCCAGAGGGTGTGATGTGACAACTGGGAAACAATTCCATGGATCTTCACACCATCCTCCTGGGAAAATCCCCTCCACCTAGGAGAATATGTCTCCCTGGCCTCTGGCATTCCCCGGGCTTTATCCCTCAGCCTCCATGGTGAGGTCTAGAGCTTGTGCCCAATGACAAGGAACAGTGGAAAATTCCAGAAACAAAGACTTCATCTACTGAGGTGATGCTTCTAATATGACCCTGAACTCAATTCAGAAAAGTTTTTCCAGGGAAGATCTCCCGTGAGCAACCCAGGGCCATTCCATCACCACTGCCAGTTACACCAAACCAAGGCAGTTGGCATGAGGATATTAAAATGTGGTAATGGCTTTTGCTTTCTGTTTGCCCTGAGCCTGGAACCACTCATGGGGACTCTGAAAATGCCCCACTATGAAAGAATTATCTCATTCCATTTATACAGATTGCATGAACAGATTAAATTAATTGCCCCAATATCTTGAAATCCTAAATTACCAGATCATTGGAAAACAAAGCTGAACAAATTGGCTGCTCAGAACTTTATTGCTTGCCTTCCATTAGTGGAGACAGTGCCATATTAAAATCAGCCAGAATGTTTAGGCTGGGAAAACAGTTCTGTTGGCTCCTGGTAGAAAGGGGATGCTGGAAGGGTCTGCAAGCATATGAGGCAAGTATTTGGGAATCTTACCACCCCTTTCTTCCCTAGGAAGACCACTGACAGAGAAACTATAAACTGACTCATAAGAATGGAGAGGAAATCTGGGAGGGGATTAGAGACTGATGCACAAGAATTCCAGGCTGTAGAGTGAGGTGAAAGTAGATTCCAAAGCAGAACTCCTGCTAGGTAGCTTCTCAGAGCACATACCAGGTACTCACGAAGACAGTGGCAAACAGTTCAAACATGTCTCTGGGCTAAGCTTGGGACACACAAATGCCCAGGGCCAGTGAGTCCAAGGTCCCCTTCAGTTCATCAAGGAACTCCACTTGCAGCTGGGCAGTCACCAAAGATTCAAATGACTGTAGGATCATCTAGGAAGTGTCCTGCCTGTCTGCCTGGGTATGAGCAGCTGAGAGTTCTCGGAGGACAAGGGCTATCTTAGGCTTCTTCACTGTTCCCACATAGAACTCACTCAGTGATTGCTTTCTGAGTGACTACGAATGGCTCTTTATTTTTGAGACCATGGATCTTGTAAAAAGTTTGTGTGAGATGTTAAAGGCAACACAGCTCCAGCAAGTCAAAAGTCCTCTGAAGGGCCTGGCTTTAATGTTAATCCATGAGTTTCTAGACTCTTCCAAAGTGAGGCTCTTTGGAAAGTTGTCATTACTTAGGCTGCAGAAGCTAACAGAGAGGTCTTCAAGAGCCTTCCTCTCAGCTACCCAAAGCTCCTCCCGACTCTTCTTATCTGCTATTACAGAGACACTCATAAGGATTATCAAACTAGTACTTATGAATATAATAGACTATAACCAAGGTGATTACACCTAAAGTTTAAATCTTGAAATAAAACGATTAAAATATATGAGATCTTAATTGGAACCAGAAAGTCCTAAATAAAAAGCAATAGGAGAAAAAAATGGCAAGATGAAAGTTTAAAAAAAAAGAATTCTGAATGTTTAAGAGGTTAAAGAAAGTTTTGTTTTGTGTTGTGTTTTAGTGGCTCATTGGGCCAGGTGAAGCAGTAGGGTTATGAATTGTCTTGGGCAGTAATGGGCAGCTGTGTTGGTTTTCAGGTGGATCTAAGAGGAAGCAAGAGCCCACACCTCCTGAGAACTCTGCCTTATCCCCTGGCATTATAGGTAGGGCAGAATCCCTCCCTCTGCCCTCCCAGTTCCCATCCCACTGGATCCCAGAAACATAGAACTCCTCAGCCATCAACACAGGGAACACTCAGTAGACCAGCCTGGGGCTCAGGAAGATGCCAGAAGATACCTAGATCTGAACATCATCTGTCACACACCTAAGGAAAAGGGAGTTGGGTGCTTTGCAAGAAATTTCTATTGTATGAGTGCATATGTATGTGTGTGTGTCTGTCTGCCCATCTGTCACCATGTCCAATATCAGCCCTCTAGCCAAATCCTAGTGACTCCACTCCTTCCAGGTATGAGGACTGACCCAGCAGCTGGTAATCCTCACAAAACAGAAGCCGAGGTTTAGAATGTGTTCTATAAATGACTAGAGAAGTGTCCCTTGCCTCCTCTTCCCTAACCTCACCTTATATCACCACCATTCCTTACAAAAGGACATCTTACCAACTTTCTATGAGAAATTTTTTAAAAAAGAATTTGCTGAGAAATCTGTTACCAAGGAAGTATTTTCAGGCTGCAGGCAAATGTCTACTTATGCACATTTCTATCCTTCAAAAATTCTGTTATACATTTTCCTCATTTATACCTTTAAAACAGAAATACAAGGGAAACCAACTGAGAGTGGGGGATGGAGAGCAGACTGAAGATTTTGTAGAAAGAGTTAGAGCTCAGACGGTTATGATCAGAAGAGGCTGAGCTCTATGTGCTGGATCCAAAAAGCAGGGTCATCTTCCCAGAGACAGGCGCCTGAGTTTCTGCCCAATGCGGAAGCAGTCAGACCCAAGAGCCCAGCTTCCTGGGGTGTTAATAATAATGTCCTAAATTATGTGCAGGTCTTCCAAGGTGAACAAGCAAGTCTACACTTATTATTTCATGCCAGTGGCCAAGGTTCTCCACACCTATGGACCTACAGCCATGCAAGGCTGGGTCCTGCCTGAGCCGCTGCCTTGAGAACCAGCCCCTGCTGGGGAGAGGGCTGAGGGTCACCTCCTGGATCTTCCTTCATGATAACTAGAATCCAGTCTTCCCCTGAGGCTAAGAGCCCCTTTGCTTACCTGGGGTGGGCAGGACAGGCACAGGGTACGAGCAGGTCCTGCCTTCACTGCCTGGCGGGAGCTGAAGTGCAGAGAGGCAGGTGGAAGTCGTTGGAGGTGGTCTTAGAGTACCAGGCTGACCTAAAACAAAACCAACCTCCATTCTCAAAGTCCAGAAGACCGATCTGCTCATCATGGGTGTGAGTTACTCAGTTCATGGCCAGAAACGAAAGCCTTGTGGGGCCCTGTTAGACATGAGGCCCAGCGATGCACAGACACATGCATGGTGGTGTCCCCGAGCCTGCCAGGCCCACGCTTTTGTATTTCTTTCACTTGTTTCCTTGTGCCCTCTCCTGCCACTGTGTCTCTCCTGTGTTAGCCAAGACCTAGAATACCGGGCATCTTCGTTGGAGACTCATTACAGCTTATCTCTGTCTGCCTTTCTTTAAAGCCAGCTGAACATACCCAATGCTCTCCCTCTATGGTAAGACCGACCCTCCAGACCACATGCCCAGCTTCTGTGAACCCTCTAGCACCCCCACTCTTACCCACTCCAACCTCCAGAGTCTCAGGAGCCCAGCCTGGCTCCCTTGCATGTAACCACGTGTCTGTCGTGTGCCTTGCTCTGCCTGTGCTCGTGTGAACTGTGAAAAGGCTGCACGCGTAACGGTGTTCTGCCTCCCCCAGCTCCTTTTGGTGGTAATTCCCTGTGATCTTGTCTATCTAATGAGCCACTGGGAGAGAATTGGACCCATGGGCCATTTCCTGTTAAACATCCCGAGGACTGAGACTAAGCTTAATCTGACATGGGAAATTTGCAGAGACCACCTGCGAGAGCCGCCATAGGATTCCAGGAAGAGGAGAAGAGAGGGGGTCTAGCCAAGAAGCTGAGAGGAGGAGGATGAGTTCCTGCTATCCATGTCCGTGACTACCAGCCTCCCTCGGCTCTGAGTGGAAGGCCGCTGCAGAAGCTTTATGCTGGCATTTGTTCCTAAGAGGGCAGTTGAACTTCTAGTCACTCCAACCATGGTGCCCCTCTCATCTTTCTAAATTCCTGCCGTTCGTTTCATTTGGGCTAAACCCACTTTTCTGCAGCAAAGTGGATGCAGAAAAACAAACTCTGTCAACTGGACCATTCCTAATGTAGGAGTCCATGATCCCCTTTGGCTAAAGTGGTAGAGATGCCTCTCAATGTGACCTTGAAGTGTCCCTGTACAACCTCCCCCCGGCCCTGTAAAAGGTGCCATCACACATTTCAAACGGAGCTAAGTGTGAGATTTTAGAAAGACCAGTGGGTTGATTCCTCAAATCCCGAAAGTCAGCAGACCGGAGGCGAGGTTGGGTGGATTGGTGGTGACCCCTCTGTAGCCTATGACGACCTGGCCAAAGGCTGCCAGGGAAAGGCTGAGCCATGGACATCCTTCCCTGCTTCATGGGGCTTCAGCACTTGGATTGCCTTCTCATGGCATTGTCATTCCCTTTACTACGGGAAATTGTCCTGCCCCCTGGCAATGTGCTTATTCTTCTAGAGCAGCATTGGGAAGCTGCAGCTCGGGTGGGCTCTGAACGCCACAGTGGAATCCAAACAGCGAGCTTGGGTTTGGGGTCTGCGTGGCTTTGTTTTAATTCATCAGATCCAACTGTCCCAGTGGCACCAACTTCTCAGATTCTTGACACCCACAGCTGAAGTTCCCCCACTTAAGCTTGTTCTTTCTTCTTTTTCTCCTTTCTGGAACACAGTGGAACTGACAGCTGGGTTATAAAACCCTAAGCCTCCTCTGTGAGCTCCTCTGGGGGAACAAACCTCTTGCTAAGGGGAGAAAATAGAATTTCAAGTATATACACAGGTGATAGAAATAGAGGAGGAGGCCATCAAAGACCTCAAAATAAACAGGCAAGGGCAGGCCCAGGGACAGCACAAGGACTGCTGCCTGCAGGTCCCTCTCCAGGCCCTCAGGGAGCCCATGTGACAGGCCCCCAATACCACAGTCTGCCCCCTGCCTTATAGGGAGCAGGAGCCCTAGGAGGAGCTGAGGCAGCTCTGATTTTGAAACCTAAGAAATATGTTGACTCTTCTCCTGTCTGGAGGGTCCAAAAGCCAGGAGAGACCCTCTGGCTTGGTTTCTATGCAGAACCTCCAAGGTGGAAATGGGCATGCTGTAAAATCTACCTCTGAATTTCCCTGCTCCCTCAGGGGTCTCCTGATCTGAGTAAGAGACGAGTGGTCCCTGAAGCCATCCCACCAGGTCAGGAGTGGACGGGCCTGAGGAGCTTTCAAGGGCTAGTGGGGTGTTCAGGGAGTGGAAACAGGCTTGGGCCATGTCGGGGGAAGAGGAAAGGGGGTGGAGTGGGCCGCCAGAGACCCCTCCTTCCTTGAGGGGAACCTGGAACGGGAACAGTAACAGGAAACTCAAGGGCCGGTTCTCTCCTGGTGCTGGCAGGGCCGGGTGAGCTGCACTGGCTCTGGGAGGCGGGAAGTGGCTCTCTTGAGGGTGGCCAGGTGCCAGCTCCCCAGGCTCTGCAGCACAGCCTGCTGCTCCTGTGGGCAGGGGGCTTAAGACGGGAGGTCAGTTCTTGTAGTTCTTGGGTCTGGAGGCAGAAGGGGGCAGGGCGGTCTGTCCTGTCTTTGGAACCCTGGCCAGGCATGTGCCCACACTCTCCGGCTCCTCCAGGTCCCATTGCTGAAGGTGAGCCTCAGCCAGCAGAGCCCCCTGCAACCCAAGAGTCATAAACCCACTCCAGCTTGCCTTGGCCTCGATGCCGACCCTCTTCTTCCCCTTCCCTCCAGGACTCCAGGGAGGGAGATGATCCATCCTAAATAGATCCCTTGGTCCTCAGAGAGCAAGACCCAGACTTTCCAGGGATCACTGCAAGTGACACCTCCCTACCTCCCCTCTGTGCCCTCACCCCTTCCAGGGTCTTCCACAGCCTGGACAGGGTGGAGCCTCCTAGAAGCCCCAGGGAAGAGGGGAGTTAGAAGTTCACCAGCTTCCTTCCTGCGAGGAAGGCAAGTGCTGCAAGCCAGACCCTCACCCAGCACCAGCAGCACCCTACTCCCCAGCCCTTTCCCCTGTAGCCACTAGGGGCAAGGGCTGTGGGAAGCAGGGGGAGGTGACACAAGAGAACTGCTGGAGTCCAGAGCAGCCAGGGCTTGAGACCCCTTCAGTGGGCAGCCCACTCCACCCGTCAGAACCCCTGAATGCAGTCATAAGGGACAGCTGCCACCCAGCCTCCTCACAGAGTGCCAGGTCCCACTCAGGGTGTAGGACCCTCAGCTGAGCCAGTCCGAGGAGAGCCAGGAACTCCAAGGGCAGCCAGCTCTAGGCCTAGTTTCCAAAGTATATGGGAGCTCCTTCTGGAGCTTTCTGTTGCTCCATGCAGGGCATCACAAACTAGGAATGAAGGGGAAGAGAGAGGGATGGGATATCAGGACCACAGTCTCAGGGCCTAGGCACAGCCTGGCTCTGCGAGACCACATGACTGACTATTGACCTAGAAAGCTGGACACTGGCCTCCCACCCATGACCAGGGAGCAAGGACCTGAGGGAAGAGTCCAGTGCAGCTGACCCACCCCAGCCTGCCTCCCCTCAGCCAAAGACTGTTCTCAGAGAGCCCCTCCTGTACCACCTCTCTCTTGCTGTGTTAACTGCACCTATTGCCAATGGCTTCCAGAATGCAGAGGAGAACTCCCGCATCTCCATCACCTTCTTCCGCCTCTTCCGGGTCATGCGCTTGGTCAAGCTGCTGAGCCGTGGGGAGGGTATCCGGACCCTGCTGTGGACCTTCATCAAATCCTTCCAGGTAACCAGGCCACCTTCCCAATGCAGTGGGAGACAACCTTTGGGATCCTGGGGTGAGCTGGGGCTCCCCTGCCCCCACCCCTGGAGCTCCCTGGACCTGAGCTGTCACAGAAAGCAAGGGGCCTGGGGCTGGCCCTTCCTCTGCTGCTCAGCATGTGTGTGAGGGCAACTTCCCACCAGGCACCTTGCTTTCCTCATTTCTGAGATGAGAGGATGAAACTAGATCTGTGGTTTTTCAAAAGTCAACTCCCAGAGCCCCACATTTCCCCGAAGGCAGGGTACAGAGGGTGGGAGGAGAGGGGAGGCTGAGGTGGTTCTCTCTCTCCTCTCATTTATGTATTTCTCCTCAAGAATTTACTGGACAAAGGGATTATGTGGGATAGAACATATCAGAAAAACATGGGTCTAGCTCATCTGAAACCACTCTGGCCCCCTCAAATTCCTGCAGTTTGGGAATCTCCCAGCCAAGTCTGCTGACCCTACCTGGTTGTGGTCCTAGCCAAACTCTAAGGGACCCTGGAGTCACTCCACTCCAGGAAAGCAGACCCCCCATAGGGCCCCAGGATTGCCTGACTACTGCATAATTAATTTCCTTTTCTCAGCCATCGTTTTCCACCTGTAAAAACAGGCTCACAGTCACCTCTGGCAGCTCTGAGGAGTGTTATGTAAGTGTGAAGTTAAAGAGAAGCAAAGCAGTTAGGTCCCTGGGATTCCTTGGAGATGACGGCAGCAGCCCCTACTGCTCCCCTGGCCCCGCGCAGAAGGCAGGCCTCTCTCCTCCTGTGGAAGTGCCACTCTCAGAGTCCCCAGGATGGAGAATCATCATCTCTAAAGAACAATCTCCATGTCCCCTGCCCTGGCCAGTCCAGGCCTCAGATAGGGCATAGAGTTGGTCTCTGGTCCAGGTGTGTCTCCTGCTGTGGTTGGAGCCAGAGCTGTCACAGGAAGTAAGGGGCCTGGGGCTGGCCAGAGGATAGATACTCTAGGGCCCCTGCTTCCCTGCTCTGGAGGCCCCTCCCAAAGGCAGTCCCCTCCAGGCAGGGACAGAAACCATCTGCTGGTCCAGCAGTCAAGGCCTCAGCCTGGTCACACTCTGGGAGCCAGTGCTCCTCCAGCCCCAGCCCAAGCTGACTCCCCACCTAACAAGGAGCTGCAGCTCCCCACACGGCCCTGCTCAGCCCCCAGGTGGGGGAGGGGCGGCTCTCTGGGGATTTGAATCCTCAGCCCTCATGGAAGCAGGACTGGGGGCTGACCTGGTTACTGATCCCTAGGGTCAAAAGCTGTGGTGGCCGTATAGCCCCAACCCCAACGTTTCCCTGGGCTGGAAAGAGACAACAGGCTGGGGTGACCATGAGGAATGGCACTCTGAGAAGCCCAGTGCAGCTGGATGAGAAAAGCATTGAGTGAGCTCGCAGCGCCATCTAGTGTTGTGTGGCCGATGGCGACGCATTTCCTTCGGAGCAAGCATGTGGGCTCTTGGATCCCACAAAAGTAACTGGTGTGGAGGCCCAAAGTGCTTTCCCCAGCTGAGGCTCTGGAAAATTAAGTTGTCAGATAATATGTTGAGTGAATAAAACCTTTGGCATGTGACTCTGCGAGGTAGTGCACTAAGCACTCAGTAAGCCTCAAGTCATTTAAACGCCACAAACCCCCAGAGGCCATTGTTGTTCCCACGCTCAGATGAGGAAACTGCAGCTCAGAGAGGTTCGGTAACTTGCCCAAGCTCTGGTATCTGGAAAGTATTTTCACAACAGTAAATCCTGCTCCCACAACTAGTGGAGCAAAAGTCAGCTGAATAAAGAGGGGCACAGCCCACCTCCTCCACCTCTCCCCAGGTGTCAATGGCCAGCGGGGAGCACATCCTCCACCACTCTCTCCTTCCTCATGCTAATATTCCTGCGCAATTGAAGGAGGTTCAGCTCCCCCTGACTCTGCTCACTGCAGTAGTGCGGCACAGCATCCATCGTGCTGCAGCCTGCCGGGGTGGATCTCTGTGCTATAGCGTCACCTGCCTGGGTTCCATCCCCAGCACCACAAAAAGCAAATAAAAAACTAAAATGAGAAGTCAATGCTCATTTCTCAGGCTCTTCTAGGTGCCCAGTTCTTCTGTAGGGCTCTTGGAAGTGCCCCCTGCCCAAAGTCAGGCAGCAGCTGATGGCTGCAGAGAAGGGGACACAGTGCTCCCTGGGAAGGGATCTTGTCCCCTGGGCCTAATTGGTGTCCTCTATGATTCCTTCCAGGCCCTGCCCTATGTGGCCCTTCTGATAGTGATGCTGTTCTTCATCTATGCAGTCATTGGGATGCAGGTAGGAAGAGCTCCCCACCCTCACTCCCTGACCAGGGCCCCAGGCCTGGGTTCTGTAACTGGTAAGGAAAAACTCAGAATTATGCAGTTGGCCTCAGAAAAAAACAACCCCTTCTTAGAAACAGCAAGAAGACTCTGATCTGCACCCCCCTGCTTTGCCCATGTCTGATGGGCCTGAGAATTCCCCTCCAACCAGTGGCATTCAGAAACTAAGGACTGAGAGGGAAGAAGACAGAGGGAAAGGAGAACAGGAGGAAGGTAGTGCCTCCTCAAACATGCAGCAGTTCCTGGGGCCTCCCCTTCCCAGATGCCCACTACTCCTTCTCCTTCCCCAAACCAGAGTTCTTCAGCCTCCTCAGGGCTCCGGCTGAGTTCCCCAAGTCAGACTGGGACAGCCCTTCCCCTCCCCAGCACTGCACACTGGCCAGGAGCTTAAGCAAGCTCCCCACTTGCTCAGTGCAGAAAGACCTGAAGGTTGGTAGTCCAAACCTTTGTGATGAAAAACCCTCCCTTGACACCTGATAAAAGGGACCGGTTTCCAGGATAAGCATAGTTTTAAAGGGGCAGGAAAAAATAAAATAAAAAAGAAGAAACCTCTGATTTCAGGGATGAATTAAATTTGTCCAAGCCCCAGATCACCCATTCAATATCACTCCAAATCCAATAACCTAAATTGGGAGTGTTTGGACATAGGAGCTAAAATGGCAAACAAAGGAAGGCAGTGGACCCTGCGTCCCCACCCAGCAGGTCCTGATCACGGCCTCCACTCCTCTCAGCCCCAGCTCCTGCTGGCTGTGGGGACCTTGGCTGAGGGCCAAGGGCACAATTCTTCTTACATATGTCCACGGATAATTGGGACCAAGACTTGGGGGGGGTGCTGCAGGTGCTGTCCGGGTCACATCAGGAGACTCTGGGGTATAGTTTGGACAATCTTTGAGTTACTTTGTCCCCTAAAGAGACTATTGAAAAACAGTGTTGGAAATTAGGGTCCTCTTCTCACAGGTCACTGAATTTCTCTTCCTTTCCTCTGCTAGGTATTTGGAAAAATTGCCCTGAATGACACCACAGAGATCAACCGGAACAACAATTTTCAGACCTTCCCCCAAGCTGTGCTGCTGCTCTTCAGGTGGGTGTCCAAGGACACAGGTGCACACATACACATCTGCATGATGACCTGTGGCCAGGTGTAAAGAAGAGTGAAGTGAGTTCGGAGGGTGAGAAAGAATGGAGTGGGTGCTCCCCTCACTACCCCTCCCCTTTCATTGTGATTTGTATTAACGTTCCATGAGCACTGAGTAGTCCATGAGTACTGGACTACTGGACACTGAAACCTGCTGGTAACCATCTAAAGCCGTTATAGGACCAAAGTCAAATATTGAAAGCACCCTGGCTTGGGATCTGAACAGGTTCAAAGCCAAGTTTGCAGCATGCTGGCTTTGTGACCTTGAGTAGGACATCTACTTTCTCTGAGCCTCAGTTTCCCCATAAAACAAATATAGGTGTTGATCACTATGCCAGTGTGTGTGCCATCTGCTGTGTTAGGTGGTTACGTCCACCTGCACTGACTTTTATATGCACTGAAGTCAGCCTTGAGCCTCTACATTTCCTGGAAGACCACCACCTCTGGAATGCTGGGGAGGGAGTGTTTCCCACAGTGTCCCTGATTGACTCTGTTCTGCAGCCCGCTTCTTCTCATCCAGGTCATGATAATCCCTGGACCAGATGACTTCTAAAGTCTATGCTAGCTCATCTATTCTATATGTGGCACTAGGAGAGGTAGTGAGCCCTGGAGTCCCCTTCCCAAGGGTCTCAGATAACCCACCTTTACCATGTCTCACAGGACCCATTCCCTAAACCCAAGTATCATAATTGCTCAAAAATGCATTATATCAGACTAGTGGACTCCCTAAGTAGCAGTCTGACATCACCACCTCCCTTAGATTATAAACTATCAGAACACAGGTCAACTGCCACTCCACAGCAGCCTTAAAAGCCCGTGCCACATTTAAATATGGAGTTGGACACAGATTTCAGAATGATCACCTGGGCCCATCTCCCCTCCTTTCCTTGATGACAGAAGACATTTCTTTAGAGAATAAATTTGTAACAGTGCTAAGGATAGGGGGAAAAAAACTGGCATGTAAGAGTGCCTTAGGTGAACCAGAAATGTTGAGGGATTCCTAAATGGAGAAAGCAGGTTGGATTCAACTGTCAAAGGAACAAGAGCCAAGGAGCACACACCTCCAGACAGGGTGAGACTATGGGGAAGTGAGAGCAGCCCAGGGAGTCTCTAGGCTCAGGGTCAACAGATGCAAGGCACAGGAAAGACCTGGGGCTATGGTCCCGGAGCCCTGGTTCCTTAGGGACTTATTCTATTGGGGATCATTTGCTAATTCTTGCAAGCTGGAAGCACCATCACGTGACATTTCATCCCTGGACTTTGGAGTTTGGAGAGACAGAGCATCCTCCTCCCCTAAGGGAACCCACACTCAAAAAGAAGCCACCTGCCCAGTCTACCTGCAACATATCTTGTCTCCCTTTCATGATCCCCAGGAAGGATCCTGGGAGGAGGACTTCATCCAGAGAGCTATGAACTGAGTTCTCCATCCCAAAGAGAAATCAACAATAATCCCAAAGTACTTGGGAGAAACTAACATCAAGAAAGAGAGGCCTCACACTTGATTCACAGATGAATGAGGAATAAATATAATTATCTTAAATATAATGTAAATATAATAAATATAACTAATATCTTTAGAGAGACTAGAGAACATCACCCATCTGTTAATTAGAAGAAGTGCAGCAGCAGCAACAACAACAACAACCCTTATTAAAAAGAGCAAAGTGAGCTGGGCACAGTGGTGAATGCCTATGATCCCAGTGACTTGGGATGCTGAAGCAGGAAGATCACAAGTTCAAAGACAATCTCATCAATTTAGTGAGGTCCTAAACAAGTTAATGAGATCCTGTCTCAAAAAAAATTAAAAATAAAATAAAAAGGACTGGGGATATAGTTCACAGGTAAAGTAACCCCTGGGATAAATCTCCAGGAAGAGGGGGGAGGGGACTAAAGTATGTACTAAAAAGAGAAAAATACAGTGGTTGAAATATTTTTTTTAAAAGTAGGATGTAGAGCAGAGGGGACACAGCAGAAGAATGAATTGATGCACTGAAAGATTAACCAGGGAATTCTCCTTAGATAGCTAAAGGACAAAAAGAAAATATGAAATGAAAAATCCTGTCTCTGAAATATAAATTCCAGACCAAAAAACCCAGAAGGAATGGAGAGAGTAAAATAAAGGAATGTGATCAATTAAAACTTTAAATAATAAAAGTGTGAACTTTCAGTTTGAAATTGCCTTCTAAGTGCAGAATAGACACATTATGATTACCTTTTAGAATATCAACAATAAAGAAAATATCTTAAAATCTTAAAAAGTGGGAAAACATCAACAAATTGAAGTTTCACAAGGCCTGATATCAAAGTGAGAAAAAGATGCTGCAAGAAACCAAAACTACAAGTCAATACTCCTGGTGAGCATCGATGCAAAAATCCTCAACAAAATACTAGCAACTGAATTAAACCGTACATTAAAAATATGATTCCCCATGATCAAGTGGGATTTAAACCTGGAATGCAGGGGTGGTTTAACATATGCTGATCAATAATGTGATACAGCACATTAACAAAATGAAGGATGGAAACTATATGATCCTCTCAATAGATGCAGAAAAAGCATTTGACAAAATTCATCCTCCTTCCATATTAAAACCTTTCAATCAATCAGGCATAGAAGCAAGGTACCTCAATACAATAAATACCATGTATGTAAAGTCCACAGTTAACATTATGCTCAATACTCAGAAACAAGGAAAGGGTGCCCACTCTCAGACATCCAAGTAGGAAAGGAAGAAGTGAAATTATCCCTTTGCTGATAACATGATCTTGTACAGAAAACCCTAAAGATTCCACACCAAAAAGAAAGAAAACAAAAACAAAACTGTGGCCTGGAGTTGTGGCTCAGCAGTAGAGTGCTTGCCTAGCACGTACAAGGCCCTGGGTTCAATCCTCAGCACCACATAAAAATAAATAAATAAAATAAAGATATTGTGTCCAACTACAACTAAAAAATGAACATTAAAAAAACTGTTAGAACTGATAAATAAATTCAGTAAAATTTCAGGCTACAAAATCAGCACACAAAAATCATTAGTGCATTTCTTTGCACTAGCAGCACACTATCTGTAAAAAAAATTAAGAAACCAATGCCATTCACTATAGCATGTAGAAATAAAAATAAACTTAACCAAGAAGATGAAAGATCTGTATACTGAAAACTATAAAACACTGATGAAAAAAATAGTTGGCAACACAAATTAATGGAAAGGTATCCCATGTGCATGGATTAAAAGATTTAATATTGTTAAAATGTTCATACTGCCCAATGCAATCTATAAATTCAGTGCAATCCCTACCAAATTGCCAATGTCATTTTTCACAGAAATAGAAACAAAATGTTTATGAAACCACCAATGACCCTGAATAGCCACAGCAATCTGGAGGGAAACACACACACACACACACACTCACACACACACACACACACACACACCTGGAGGTATCACACTATCTGACTTCAAATCCATTAAAAAACCTATAGTAATCAAAACAGCCTGATAGTTTAAAAACATACACATAAAAACAGATGCATAGAAACAGACAAATGGAAAATTGACAAATGGAACAGGACAGAGATCCCAGAAATAAACCCAACGTTTATGGTCAATTGATTTTTGACAAAGGTGCCAAGATCACACAATGGAGAAAAAACAGTCTCTCCAGTGAATGGTGTTGCTGAAGAAGAAAAAGATTGATTTGCAAAGCATCAACTGGCCTTGGACTTCTCTTCAACAAAGGTGCACACTCAAAGCTAATGGAATAATGTGTTCAAAATTACAAGGAAAATGTACTTAGTTAGACTCCTATATTCAATCTCATCAGTATTCAAGTAGCAACTCAAAATAAACATTTCCAAAAATACAAGAACCTCAAAAGTTTACTCTCTCACATAACCCTGCCTCATTGTAATTATACAGTTATATACTTCCACAGAATGAAGAAGGAATCTAAAAAGAGAATGAGCAACATCAAGAGTGAAGAAACTGTTGTAATACTTATTGTTATGACTTAGAAAAATAGAGACTGTAAAATTTATATGAAGATTTTTGCAGTACTGGAGATCAAGCCAAAATAATTGTTAAGAGGAAAAATCTTAATAACAATTTGGAAGTAGAATCCCATATTATCTCAACAAGTTTGGAAGTGAGATAATAGTAAATTGAGAAACATGAAATTATGCCAAGATTCTTCTCTTGTACCAAGAGAAGAAGTGGATACTGTGTCACTCTTTATGCAACCAAGGGGAAAATGTGTACAAATACATACATTAAATATTGAAAGGTCAACTAGAAAAATGGAAATGGAATGTGTACATTCCAAGCCACAAAATAGAAAAAAATGGACAAAAAAACCTTAGCAATTTATGAAAATGAAGGAAGGGCTACTTTTGTAGCAAAATAAAATTGGAAAAATTAGAAGACAGAACAAAGATAATAAGAACAAAGATACTAATGATTACTAAAAATTAAATGAGTTAAGTTTCTCCATTAAAAGATCAATAATCCAGGGCTGGGGATGTGGCTCAGTGGTTAAGTGACCATGGGTTCAATCCCCAGTACCAAAAAAAAAAAAAAAATTCTAGCCATAGCCTATTTCTGAGAGAGGATGAAAATAAAGGGCTAGAGAAGGCATGCAAAGCAGTGCTTGAGGTGTCGATGTGACAACTGCAGTACCAGGGGAAAGGCATCATATAAGACAAAGGGGGCATTTGGCACTGGTAAAGGAAAAGTCCACCAAGATCATTCCACCATATGACAATCATAAAACTACAGGAGCCTAACCATACACTTTGGAAGTGGATCTGATAGATGGGGATAGAACTCTAAGGAGAAAATACACACACACACACACACACACTCACACACTCACACACACACACGGGGAGTTGAATGCAGGTCACAAAAAATGACAGATCAGACAGATCAAAGTAGAAGAAATGGTAAAGCAAAGCCAAATAACACAGTTAACAGATTAATAAATTACTGTTCATTAATGGCAAAAGACACATCCTTTATAAGCACCTAGAAACATTCACAAAAATTAGCCATAACTTATCTCACAAAGCAGAATTTAATAAATCCTAAAACTTCTCTGACCTCAATATAGCAAAATTAGAAACTAACCATAAAAACAGTTGCCCTGCTCAGAAATTAGTGATAGTGTTGTATCTGACATACATGAGATGACCCATCAATACCAAAGGAAAATTCAGAATGTAAAATTTATTCATTTTTAAAATTATAATAAGTAAACTAATAGATGGTTAAAAAATAGCAAAAAAACCCCACCAAAATGTGAAGAAATGCATTCGTAAAAAATAAAAGCATAAATCAGCCAAATATAAAACAAAAGTAGATTTTATCAATAAATGCTAAAGCTGATTAAAAAAAAACAATAAATAAGACTTTTATCAAATCCAGATTTTTTTAAAAGGCACAACAATATTAGGCATACAAAAAGCAACATAATTATGGATGTAGAAGTGATTTTTAGAATTATAAGATAATTGTATGCTTTTTTAATGGCACCTCAGGTGATCAGCTACTTGAAGATGCTGAACATCTTTCCAGCCACTCACTGTTAGAAACTCATTAAAGTAGACCATGAACGTAAACTTGGTACCGTTCATGAGAAGTGAATGGCCATAGACATTGCTTCTGGCCCCCTGAGGAAAGGGCGGAAGGGTTATGTGGTTTGAATCAGTGGCTGGAACGACAAACTGAGGTTTCCCTGTGAAGCACAGCTGTGTGCACCTGCAACTGAGTAAGGGCTATTCCTGTTATAAACCAAGGCGAACTGGAGAAAAACACGTGCAGATCTATTCAGGGTTGCATTGTGTTGAATGTTCTCCATGTGGTTATTGTGAAAAAGAATACTTCTGGTTGGACTAATACTACTGTGCTTCATCACCTAGGACCCCAAAGAGCTAGCAAACCCCACAGATTTTCTAATAGCTCTAAATATCCACCAATTGTGTGTATGTGTGTGTGTGTGTGTGTTTATAAAAACCTGTGTTAGTTAGATTTCTATCACTGTGCCAAAATGCCTGAGAAAATTCACTAAATAAGGAGAAAAAGGGCTTGGGGTTGTAGCTTGGTGGTAGAGCATGGGTGAGGCCCTGGGTTCTATCCTTAGCATCACACAAAAATAAATAAATTAAATAAAGGTTTACAAAAAGGAGAAAAGGTTTGTTTTTGCTCAAGGTTTCAGGGATTTCAGTCTATGGTTATTTAACTTCACTTCTTTGGGCCTGTGGTGAGACAGAACATCTGATAGAAAGCTCATGGTGGACCAGAGCTGCCCACCTCATGGAGACCAAGAAGCAAAGAAAGTAAGGAAAGGGACAGGTTTCCTATATCTTCTTCCAGTGTATGACCCCAGTGACTTCACTCCCTCCCCTAGGCCCCACCTCCTCAAGGTTCCACAGCCTCCAAACAGAGCCACAGACTAGGGACCAAACCTTCAACCATGTGCCTTCAGGGGACATCCCAGATCTAGACTACAGCAAAGCCCTAAACAAAGAATGTAAGAAACCTAGAACACAAGTGTGCACAGTTTAGCCTCATGTTCCTCCACCTGTGCTGCAACACAGCCACCACCATGTTGTCTTGAAGAAACAGGATACTAAGAAAAATAAGCAAGAGGCCAAAGAATACTCAAGACGTTGGGCCAAGAAAATGAAGGAGGTCAAAGAAAAATGTCAGGAACAGACTGCCCAATGATAGAGGCTGTACTCTCTGAGACCGTCTACCTCTAGGTTTGAGTCCAGTCAAAACCAAGATTTTCTAAATGTAACAAATAAGATTAGACCTTAAAAGGGGGATGAGGATATTATGAGCAAATTTATGTCAATATATTTAAAAATATAAAGTCAATGATGTTATATAGGGAAATACAAAGAAAAATTTTAAAACATTAACTGATAAAAGCAATAATCAATGGAAAAAATGCAAGCTTAGAAGACATTTAAAAGGTTTTCCACAAATAAAACAGTAAACAGTTTTCTGGCTTGTCACAGATTCAATATAGATTTGATGTAAGTATAGGCATCTCATATAAGATGTAGGTTGGTACCACTGTAACATTGGAATGCTCTAAATAAATAAATAGCATTAACTATGATAAAAATTGAAAAAATCGTCAAAATTTTAGCCTTCAAAAAGGCCCAAGCCTTAATATTTTTATTTGTGAGTTCTAACAAACTATAAAAGAATAGACCATTCCTATATTATAAAAATTTTCAGGATTAGAAAGAGGTGGCAAACCTCTACACTCATCCCATAATATGAACATAAACCTAATATTAATAAGGGAAGGAGAAAAAAAACAAGTTATAAAAATGAAAATATGAATGGGATTGGGGATGTAGCTCAGCAATAGAGTACTTGCCCAGTATGAGTGCTTCGCTGGGTTCAATCCTCAGAATAGGAAGAGGAGAGGAGAAGAGAGGAGAAGAGAGGAGAAGAGAGGAGAAGAGAAAATGTGTTGACATAATTGTCAATGTTTGAAAACGACAAAAAAAAAAAAAGCCCAATCCAAGTAGAAAATCCAAGCAAAATAATTACAAATCTCTGTAATAATGAATAGGATCAGTAAGGTGGGGAATTAACAAAGAGGAAGAATCATTATATTGTACTTGAAATAGCTAATTAGAAAACATAATGGATAAGATCCTATACTATCACTCTTTCTGCCTGTCAAATCAGAATCTGATCTGGAATATTATATTGCAAGTTTTGTCCAAAGCAATATAATATAAACATTATATTGGTTATTTAACTTCATTTCTTTGCAAGTTTTGTCCACTGCAATAAGAAAAATAAATTGAAAGTTAAGAATCAGATAAGAAACAAAAAAGCAAAAAAAAAAAAAAAAATTGCCAGTTCAGAATGTACAAGAGAAACTACAGATAAACTGTTGAAACCAGGAAGAAAGTTCTGCAAATCTGTATATAAAATCAGTTATTCTACACTATAACAAACTAATATAATTTAAAACTGCATCTTTTTGTTTGTTTGTTTGAGCTGGGTCTCACTATGTTGCCCAAGCTAGCATCAAAATCCTAGGCTTAAGGGATCATCCTGCTTCACTCCCAAGTAACTGGGACTATTGGTTTATAGGACCATGCCTGGCAAACTGCACCATTTTAAATATGCAACAAAATAAAGAAGGTACTTAAAAATAATGTAACAAAGGATGTATATGGGGAAATCATAAAATTTTACTGAAGACATTAAGTAAGGACTACATAAATGGATGCCATGTTCATGGCTGAAAGACCTTGTATCCTAAAGTTGTCAAGATTCCTTAATCTAAATTTTAATGCAATTCCACAAGACTCTCAATAGAACTATTCATAGAACTTGATGAACTGATTCTAATGTGTCTAAGGAATAGAAAAAGAAAGTGAACAATCAAGACAAATGAAAAACAAGAAACTGGAATTCATGCCCTATGAGAGAACAAGGTTCACTATAAACTATAATAATTAAGACAACATGGTACCAATGCTCCTTGGCAAGTAAACCTATGGAATAGAATGAAAAGACTAGCACAAGATTCACACGTCTATGGAAATAGAATTTATATCAGAAGAGCTATTTCAAATCAGTAGGCAAATCATATGAAGAAAAGTGTTATCTATGCAGAAAAAGATGAAAGCATATTCCTACCTCATATCAAAATAAAATTCAGGTTAATGTGTTATTGTGAAAAATGAAACTTTGGAAGCTTGAGGAGAATATCTTAATGTCCTCAAACAGGAAAGGACTTATTAAATGAGAGGCAAAGAGCACAAAACATAGTGCAAAAAATTATAAATTTGACCTCATTAAAATAAAAAACTTAGATTTATCAAAATATACCTTAAAAAAAAAACCTAGAGAGACAGACCAGTCACAGGCTGGAGGAAGATACTTGAAATGCATATGAATAACAAAGGATGGTGGTAAAAACCACCTAAAGGACCCAACAAATGAAGAGGAAGACAACTCATGAATCAACAAGCAAAAACAGCAACATGCAATTCAACAGAAGGTGAAATTAAATTTCTCAACCCACTGGGGGTGTTAAAACTAAACAAAAACAGCAATGAAGTATCATTTCACACCATCGTGTGAGCAACACACTTTAAAATCCACTGAGAGCTGATGGGTCTGTGGAGAATGGCATTTCTCCTACCCTGTGAAAGGGGTCTGCACTGGAGAATATGCACCACCTAGTAAATATGAAAACACATGTGTCTTCATCTGGCAATCCCACCCCTGGGCAGATGCCCGAGATGTGGACATGCCTGGTCTTCACAGTGTTAATTATAATAGAAAAAAATTTTAATTGAAAAACCTAGATGTCTCTCAACAGGAGGGTGATTTTTGATTTAATGGCATGGTCATTAAATGTACTCCTGTATTGCAATTAAAATAAACTAGAACTAAAATGTATCCAAATGGTTAAATCTCAAAAACTTTGCATGGATTACAAAAACAGCAAATTTGCAGAAAGGGTACAATTTGTTACTCTCTTGTATAAAGCTTTAGAACATTCAGAATGATGCTGAATGTTTTCATATTTGGTGAGCATATCTGAGTGCTCAGGGAGTGATAAATACCACATTTGTTTCCTGGGAAGGATGCCAAAAGAGTTTCAATTATATGTATAAGATTGACTACATGGGTGCTGGGGCCTCTTGTCTCTCCTCCAGGTGTGCCACGGGGGAGGCCTGGCAGGACATCATGCTGGCCTGCATGCCAGGCAAGAAGTGTGCCCCAGAATCCGAGCCCAGTAACAGCACAGAGGGAGAGACGCCCTGTGGCAGCAGCTTCGCCGTCTTCTACTTCATCAGCTTCTACATGCTCTGTGCCTTTCTGGTAAGTTGGGGGGACTTGCTAGCCCCAGGAAACTAGGACAGTCTCAGGGCAGCCCCTTGACTCTGCAGCTTACTGTCAGGGCAATACATAGAAGATGGCTTGGGGACACTAAGTCAGTTGTAATGTCCAGCCACACTGGGAGAAGATCAGGAAGAGTGGGCCAGGCAAACTCGGCCATCCTCTTTTTTGTTCACATTCCCAGAGGACAAAGGGGATGTGTTGAGGCTCAGCAGAAACTTACACATTTTGGCACCTTGATGAGGAGTGAGAGAAAGGTGGCAGATAAAGCCACCCTCTGGCCTTGGCAGCCCTTCATGGCACCATGTTATAAGGGAGGCTGTCCAGCCCACAGGTAGGGGTCACCCCACACAATGCTCAGGGCAGTGAGTCATGCTCATGTCCATGAGACCCAAGTTCTCGGGCCTGGTATTTTAAATGTTGACATATTGCTGGTATTTAGAAATGTTGGCTTCTGCCACGCCTGAGCTGGCAAGGTGGGTTCAAGTGGCAAGTGTGTAAGAAAGTCCTTGTGGAGCCCCTCATGGTACCTACGGTTCCCTGCAGATCATCAACCTCTTTGTAGCTGTCATCATGGACAACTTTGACTACCTGACAAGGGACTGGTCAATCCTTGGTCCCCACCACCTGGATGAATTTAAGAGGATCTGGGCAGAGTATGACCCTGAGGCCAAGTAAGTTCCCTGAGGGAAATCCTGTGGAAGACGTCCATGATGGGTCAGCATGGGGTGGATCAGTGGGAAACACTGAGCTGTCAAAAGCCTGCAAGAGGCCAAGACCCTTTGACTAAGTTGAGAACATGTCAGTTGATGGAAGGGCAGGAGAGACTAGCATCAGGAATAACTAGTAAGTACTCACTTCAGGATATTTAGGGCTAGGAAGATCTTGACTCTATTCCTGACCTCAGGTCTAAGGATACCCTCATCTGTTGATCATCTTTGAATGACATCCCATAAATTCCTTTTTTTTTTTTTTTTTTTTTTTGGTACTGGGGATCGAATTCAGGGCCTTGTGCATGCAAGGCAAGCACTCTACCAACTGAGCTATATCCCCAGCCCCCATAAATTCCTTTTGGTTAGATGGTTAGTGTGCCGAAGCAATGAGTTCATACTGAGGAATTTAATTGCACGACTCAAATCCCTTCCACCTGGCACATAGCATAGACAGAAAATTGTCCATTAAAATCTTAACATATGCACATTGATTTTTGTATTGTTTTGGGGATTTTATGATGCAATTCTGCAGTCTGCCCTATTTAACCAGAAAGGCCACAGTATGGAGAGTACCCCTCTGTAGGTAGACCCCCACCTCCCTGATACATGAATCCTGGGCTGCAAACAGAATCCATGACCCTGACCATTCTTCCCCTCCTCTCCTTCCTCTTGCAGGGGTCGCATCAAACACCTAGATGTGGTGACCCTCCTCCGGCGTATCCAGCCCCCCCTGGGGTTTGGGAAGCTGTGTCCTCATCGTGTGGCCTGCAAAGTAAGAAGCAACCTGTGTTCTGGGGGTTGGGAGAAAGAGAAAATATGGGAGGCGAGATGAGATGCTTGTTTTACCTTGTGACCTTGGTCAGACCAGAGATCCTTAAGGGAATAAAGATAATAATGTATGTGTCTGAAGAAATGAGCCTGGGCAGGTTGTATTGTAAGGATCCCTCTAGATCTAAGTTCTCAGATGCAGTAAAGGAACTACAGGCTGAATGCCTCATGTCCCAGTGAGCCCTGTGTCCTGTCTGAATTAAGGACTTGGTCTGCCCAGCAAGCTGTAGCACCCTGGCCTCCTGCAGGACCTCCAGCTTGGAGTGATGGGTGCGGAGGAGCCGGAGGGCCAATAGAGAGGCCATGCCTTGACTTCAGGGATCTGCAAAGCACTAATATTTTATGAAAAATCACTCAAACACTCAAAATTTTGCCAAAGAGAGATTCTGCCACTGGTAAAAGTGGCAGTGTCACCAAGTCTATGCAATCAGTGAGTCTAAGAAATAAGTTAAGATAAAAATACCGGGGCTGGGATTGTGGCTCAGCGGTGGAGCGCTCGCCTAGCACGGGAGGGACCCAGGTTCGATCCTCAGCACCACATAAAAATAAAGGCATTGTGTGTGTCCATTTACACCTAAAAAATAAATATTAAAAAAAGATAAAAATACTAAGTTCTGTTAGACACACCTCTGCCTGACCCTGAGATTGAGCATCATTCTCAGCCCCTGACCCCTCTCTTGCCTCATTGTAGCTCCAATCATGCAGCCCAGTAATTGCTGAGGAATGTCACTCCCACTCCTGCCCCTCTTCTTTCACCTCCCATGCCACCTCCTTTCTCACCACTTTGTACTCCCTGTTGGAATAATAATGAGCTGAGAAAGAGCTGGGGGGAAATGAGGCCAAAGAGCTGCATCGGGGAAAAACCCAAATGGTGGAAGGATTCAGGTCTGTGGATAATCCACTCATAGAAAATGGAGAAGAGAGAGATTATGGAGCCTTCTGCTTTGCTTAGTTTTATTCAAGTTATAGAAAATATGAGAGATAAAGAGCACTCTGTTAGCTTTCCATCACTGTGACAAAATAACTGAGAAAAGATTTATTATAAAGCCAATTTATTATTGGCTCACAGTTTCAGTCCATGGTCCCTTGGCCTTGATGATCTGGGCCTGTGGTGGCCCAGTACACCATGACAGGAGTCCATGGTGGAGGAAAACTATTCACCCCATGGTGGTCAGGAAGCAAAGAGACAGAAGGGGCTGGGGTCCCAATAGCCCCTTCAAGAGCATGCCCTCAATGACCTAACTTCTTTCCATGAAGTCCCACCTCCTAAAAGTTCCACCACCTCCCAAAAGTGTCACAGACTGATGACCTGTCCTTCAGCACATGGGCCTTTGGGAGCATTTGAGATCCAAATCATAACAAGCACAAATCAATGTAAAGTAGAGGCACGATGGGAAAAGGACGTGCCTAGCAGCTGAAATGTACCCATGGAAGCCTCCAGACAGGACTAGGAGGTCTGAATATGGGGCTTTAAGCTTTCCAACTCACACTGCCCGTGAGACTCAAAAACACCCAGTGTCTCAGGAAAGGACAGCACTTCCTGGCACAAGGTCTACAGGAGGACCCCATGTGGTCTGAGAAGCAGCCTCCTTGACCACACCCTGGTGTGGACGCCATGATGAGCATCACGCTGCTCTTTGTCACGATGACCTCGTGTGCACTGACAGCCCCTCACAGAGCACAGGGATCTGTGGAATGGAGGTGGGAAAGAGGGAAGAGGCATACCACCCTACCTGGAGTCAGCAAGCCTCTGACGCGGCTTGATGTAGCAGTGCCTGGTGCACAGCTGCCCTTCATTGCCAGCAGAAGCACACCCCAAGGCTGAGCCACACTGGGCGGGACAGCAGGGAGGGTGGGCTTAACATCCCTTTGTGGAAGCGAAGGTCCAAGGACACATTCCATCCGTCCCCTACTCTGTGGAGAAGGGCAAGAGTTCTCACAGCAAAGCCCAGATTCTCCCCAGAGAAGGTTTTGAGTACATTGCGGCAACCCACGCTTCACACCCACCCACTCCCAGCAGCACCCACACAAGTCACCAGGCACCCTCCCAGCATTTCCACCATGGTGGTTATGTAGGGCCTTTGAGAACCATCTTCTGTAATCTCTGGCTTTGCCTCCTCTCTCCTCCAGCGTCTGGTCTCCATGAACATGCCTCTGAACAGCGATGGGACAGTCATGTTCAATGCCACCCTGTTTGCCCTGGTCAGGACAGCCCTAAGGATCAAAACAGAAGGTAAGGACCATCCATGGACCACTGGAAGAGCCACTTGGAAGGTCCAGTCAACCAACCAGAGAGGAGCTCAGCAGCCTGCGAAGTGCTCGCAGGCTGGGTGCTTCCCACCCAGTACCGCACAGAGCAGCGAGACATGATAACCTGCTTTCTGAGTTGCTGTGATTAAAAAACCCGACCACAACAATTGTAAAGGAGGAAAAGTTTATTTGGGGGCTCCTAGTTTCAGAGGTCTCAGTCCATAGGCAGCTGGCTGCATTCCTCAGGGCTCCAGGTGAGGCTGAGCAACATGACAGAAGAGTGTGGTGGAGGGAAGCTCCTTACATGATGATCAGAGAGAAGAGAGAGAGATCTCCACTCACCACATACAAAGGCATACACCCCCATGACCCACCTTCTCCAGCCACACCCTACCTGCCTCAGTCACCACCCAGCTAATCCCACCAGGTGGATTAATTCACTGATTGGGTTAAGGCTCTCCTAACCCAGTCATTTGTCCTCTGAACCTTCTTGCACTGTCTCACATCCAGATCACAACACTGGGTCTTAAGGAGGCCCTGCCTGCTCATGTTTTCTTTGTTTCTCAATGACCTCTTGGCCTCTGGTTTATTTATCTTGAGCTCTCCTTCTCCATTAAAGTCTAGAAATTATTCTGGTGTTGACTTGATGTCTAGGGTATAGTTCAAAATACAAAAGGGGATGATTGTTACCTGAAGCAGGACTGAGCCCTCGAGGGATATGCACTGGCTACAGGTGGGTTTCTCAAATGCTCAACTCTCTTTTGAAATTAAAAGGACTCATGTTGGGAAGGGGACATAACGACAGGTGGTAACTATGGTGGAGTCGCATACCATTATGCATGCTGTCCCTGGCACAAGGCGATCAGCCCCTTGACAGGTAGGGGTTAAGGTCCTACCTGTGCTACACTACTTATGCTACACTACTCAGCCTATGGTCCACACACACACAAGCCACTTCCAGTGAGTCCCTTCTAGTTTGCACAGAGGCACCCTGTGGGCTAGCAGTGACCCTGGTTTAGGTCATCTGCTGTCTATCTCTGAACCACTCTGCAAAAGTCTGTATAAAATGTGTCTCAAAACATGCCCTTGTTCTCCAAGAGCCTGTAGCCATTCAGTGCTTCTTAGAGTGTGGTCGAAAGACCATGAGCCACAGGATTAGCTCTTGGGACTTGGTCAAAGCTGAGTTCCGGTACCAGCTCGGATTTACCAAACCTGAGTGTCTGTGACTAGGGCCAGCAATCTGCACTGTGGACCAGCTGCGTGGATGATTTGTGTGTGAGCTGGAGTCTGACACCCACTGGTGCAGTAATAGGAGAAGATACACACGAGGCGAGCAGCGTGTTTTCTTCCCCTTCTTACACTTCACCCAGGAGCCCGGGCTGCCAGCCAGTGTTTTCCTTTGGTTCCACAGAAGGGGCAGTAAGAGGGAGATGGGAGGTTTGTGTCTGCGTCTCAGCTCTCTCACCAACATGCATGTGATTCTTTATTCTGTCTTCATTTGTAAAATAGATAAAGGTGATGACATCTGAGAATTTAGTTCAGTGCATCACCAGGAGAGGTGCCTTCTTTCAGTTAAATCTTTCCAGAGAATAGCAGAAACCTCTGAAAGGAAGGGAAATGAGAACCTGTCTAGCAACATGCCTGTCAAAATTATGAGCTAATTTTTAAAATTAAACACAAGTCAAATTTTGCTGAAAAAAAGAAAGCAAAGGCTAAAAAGTATGCCATTGGTATCAATGCAATAACTCAATCCAAAATGGCTATCAATGGGCTTACTTCTGGCTAAAAAGAATTAGGTAGACATGTAGTACACAAGTGTGTGCACAACAGAAGAAAATCAGAAGGAAAGTTGTTAATACATTAATATGGAATATCACTGAGTGGCAGAATCTTCTTCCTTTAATTCTATTCTTTCCAAATTTTCTACCATGTCTATTATTTCATTTATGTTCAGGGAAAGGGTTTATCTTCCAATAAAGGAAGACACTGACTACTGGAAGGAATATGCAGTATTACTAGAAACTTGGGATAAACTAAGGCTGAAAGTTTGGGTTCCATAGAGAAACAAAAATTACTGATTGAGCAGTGTTGAAGCTGCACTGTCTGCAAACCAGGTCCCAACAAAGTGCCACCAGCAGTAGCACCAAGTTTGCTGTAACCAGACTTATCCAGAGACAAGAGGAGAAGCCAGCCTCTGGGAACTTTAGCCAAGTCCAGAATTCAAGAAAATCTTTGAAACAGACATCTCAGAATAGCCACCAACACACCTGTACATACATTTGAGGGTGATCCTCCAGGCTCTCCACAGACTTGTTAAAATCAAGACTTGGAGACAAAGGAAAGAAAGGTGAGAAAACATAAATTTGTGAGGAGAAGACTTAGAGCGGCCTTGGCCCTTCAGGCTTTTGTGAGTGGAAGGAAGTGAGAGAAGTTCACACTGACTTTGGAGAACCAGCGCTCTTTCCAGTAGCAAGCCTTAAAAATACTTTGATGATATAAAGCAACGGGCAGTGACTGCACAGCACATAGATCATTATGACACTAAACGAAAACCTGGAGAAAAACATGAAAGAGCCTTTGGAAGATGTATTTGTTTCCTGGGTCTTCTATAACAAATGATCAGAAACCAGGTGGCTTAAAACAAGAGAACTTACTCCCTCACAATTCAGGGAACCAGAAATCTTTTAAAAGTAAGGTATAGGCAGGTGGGTCCCAGCTAAAGACTAGGAGGAGCTGTGCCTGCTTCTCTTGAAGCTTCTGGTGGTGGCTAGTGACACTGGCTCTCCTGGGCTCACAGCTGTGTCACTGCATCTTTACCTCCCTCTTCACATGACCTTCCCCGTGTGTCCCTGTGTGCCTCTCTGCTTTGTGTAAGGATACTGGGCATATTGGACGTAGAGCCCACCCTTATCCTATATGACCTCATCTTAACTAGTTACATCTCTGAGGACTCTTTTTCCAGCTAAGTCCACATTCCAAGGAGCCAGGTAGACATGAATTTTGGGAGGATGCCCTTCAACCCAGTCCAGAAGTTTATTTGAGCATTGTTTTAATTGGGACTCAGATTGTGTATGTTAGAAACCTCTGACTTCCTTCATCGATGGCCTCAATGGGAAGCCCAGAAGTTGTCCTCTGGCTTCAGCTACTGTTTGAATCTGACCTTCTGAGGAAGAACTGAGCAGCCCTCACTCCCTCTCCATGGCCACATCTGCTTGCTCTCCTGGGTGGCTTTAGACCTGGGTTTGAATGCAGGCAGTCTGACCCCAGAGCTCTCCTTGATGCCCTACAGCATTTCCATGTAATAGCAGTATCCATCACCTGTACTGCTTTCCTAACCCTGGATAATAAATTACCACACACTTAAAAAAAAAAAAAAACACCCAGTTATTAGCTCACAGTTCTGTAAGTCAGAAGTCCAGCATGGAGTAGCTAGGTTCTCTGCTCAGGGTCTTGGGAGACCAAAATCAATATTAACCAGGCTGTGCGCCCTTCTGGAGGCTCTGAAGAAGATACCACCTCTGAGTTCATTCACATTGTTGAAAATTTTCAGTTCCTGCCATTATGGATGTGTAATCCTCATTCGCCTGCTTGCTGTCAGCTGGGAACCACTCTCAGTTCATTCCATAGCATGGGTATCTGTGCTCTTCTAGTCCAGCCAGGGTCCATCCCTCTCATTTTCTCTCTGCTCCCAGCTGGTGAGAACCCTGGATTTTTAAAGGGCTCATGTGATTAGGTCAGGCCCACAGAGATCTTCTCCCTGGCTGACAGTCATAGGTGCCCTATGACGTAATCTAATTGCAAGAGTAAAATCCATTTTATCCTCAGGCCCAGGGATTATGCATCATGTGTATGGTGGTGGGGTGGGGCAGGTATCTTGCATAGCATCTAGAATCCTGCCTAGCACCTCACTCTAATGGGTACAGGTCTCAGCTTTCCTTTTCCACCACTGTCAAGCCTGTGTCCTGTGGCTTATTCCTGTAATCTCAGGCACCTAGGAGGCTGGGGCAGGAAGATGATAAGTTTGAGGCCTACCTTGGCAACTTAGCAAGGTCCTAAGCAACTTAATGAGAGTCTGTCTCATATTAAAGGGGAGAAAGGAGGCTGGGGATATATGTTTGCCTAGGCTGTCAGGGGTTGGGGGGTTGGGGGGCTGCAGCTCAGTTCAGGCTCTTCATCTCCGAGTGCCCCCACAGGCTGGCCTGAGTGACAGGTGGGGAGGAAGGGAAAAGGAATGGCACTAGACAGGGCTCAGAAGGAAAGAAAGAAAGAAGGAAAACACGGAGAAAGGGAAATGGAAAAAGGAAGGACATAGAAATGGAAATGGGAAGACTGGGGAGAAAAGCAGCATTGAGAAAGAAAGAGAAGCTGATGAGTCAGGGCTATGTATGGGGCCAAGGCCTCTAGCAGTGGCTTCCCTCCTTATTCAGAGACCCGTCTCCTGGGAGGGTGCCACAAGGGGCCAATGATCATTTTCAGCCTCCCATACCCTCTTCTTCAGGGAACCTGGAGCAAGCCAATGAGGAGCTGCGGGCCATCATCAAGAAGATCTGGAAAAGGACCAGCATGAAGCTACTGGACCAAGTGGTGCCTCCTGCAGGTGGTAAGTGCCCTGGATGCCCACATCTCAGCCACCTGCCCAGCCCACATGATTTCTCTGCCTTCCTCTACTCCAGCTCTGGCACCATTAGAAACATGGCAGCAGCCTGAGACTTACGTCTTGAGGCCACTGGGCTCGCCGGAGCTTCCTTTCTCCAAACCCTTCTCCCAGAGACTGGAGTGCAATGCCCTGCACAAACTCAGATATAGACTGTCAGGTTGGAAATCTGCTGCAATCTGCATTTTGCATTATGGGGACAGGCATAGATGTGATGCTTAGAGATTTGGTTGAACCTCCAAGGGAACCCCGAAACCTGTAGGTTTCCCTGTAAGCCACTGAGTTGATTGTTCTAGATTATTCTAGAACCCTGGAAGAAAATGCCCTGAGATCCCTCCTCTCTTTGAAATTTATTTCATTCATCCTAGGACAGTTCTCCTCATCTCTACCAAGCAAAAGTCCCTGTTTATAACAGATAATTTAGATTGCCCCTACTATGATCTCAAATAAAAATTGTTGATAACATAACCTTCCTACATGTGTTAATAAGGGCTTTAACTCCAATATAAAGTATATTAAAAGAAAATGTTTTTAATGCATAAATGCTCAGGCACAACTTTGCAAGAAGTTAAAATCAATTATGAAATTTGCTCTCATGCACCCACACATTTCCAAAGCTTCCTGAAGAAGTGAAATCCCTGTTGAAAACCACTTCCCAAAGGGAAAGCAAGACTGGGGCTAAGAATCCTGAATAGGCCAAATGCCATCTGATATCTTACATGACTTAATTATTTAATGTTTATAACATTTCTGTGAAGTTTGCTCGAGGAACTAACATTCTAAGCTAATTACCTAGCCAAGGTTGCATGGTGCATCCAGAGCAGATGCAGGAGCCCGGGACGGAGGGAGCCTAGGACCTCACACCGGCTTCTGACTTCCCTAGACAGAGATCACCAAGGTTCCCTTCCCCTGTGGATATGAGGCCCTGCCAGAAGGAGGCCCATCAGTATCATGGAGTTGGCCCTTCTCAAGGACAGCTAGGAGCAGGTGTGCCACCACAAGACCAGAGACTTAACCCAATCACAAAACACAGGAGATAGGGCAACTGGTGACTTTCTGGGCATTAAACATTTCCCTTCAGGACTTACGGCTTCCCTACCATCTGGCTCATGCCCAAGACAGACACTGATTTAATCCTGTGTGATCTCAGGTACCCAGCCCAGCAGGGACACATGGTATGATAACCCAATCTTTCTGGTTTGAAGAAGAACCCAAACTTCAACAAGAGGAAGGTGTTGCTCACAACAACCCCTCCCTCCAATCTTGAAGCAGAACTGTTTGTGTTTAGGAGATGCCATTCAACCATAGGTAGAATCAAATAAGGGTTAGTAATGTCAAATCAAGGGGAAAAATAAAAGCAAGGTAGGAAGTGATTTTGACAATCACAAGTAGTATAGGCTACTTTTCTGTTAAAAAAAAAAAAGGTTGTAGTATGTAGCACCCAGGTGTGGTGGTATGCATCGGTAGTCCCAGCTACTCAGGAGGCTGAGGCAGAAAGATTGTTTCAGCCCAGAATTTCAATCAAGATCAGCCTGGTCTTAATGTAGTGAGAACTTGTCTCCAAAAAAAGAAAGAGAGAGAGAGAGAGGATAATATTAAGTAAGAATAAGAATATATTTGCTTATTTGCATGAAGAATTTCTATAAAAATATTTAAGAAGCTAATAAAAATGGTTAGCTACTAGAAGGAAATAACTAAGCTGATGGGGATGTGGTAAGAGAGAGACTTTTCACCATATTCCTTTCTATTTGTTTTTACTCTTTTTAAGCCAAAAAAAATAAATTGAAAAAGTAAAAGTTTGGATGCTAAAAAGTAAATTAACGAAGTTTAACTGAATCTCCATTTCCCCACAATTCTCCTCTCTCCGTGTGTCTCAGATGATGAGGTTACAGTTGGCAAATTTTATGCCACTTTCTTGATCCAAGAATACTTCCGGAAATTCAAGAAGCGTAAAGAGCAAGGGCTTGTGGGAAAGCCCTCCCAGAGGAACGCCCTGTCACTGCAGGTAAGGGTCTGGCAGGAAGGATCCACACCCCAAAGATGGTCCTGGTTGCCCTCCTCAGGCCCTGGCCAGGGCCCAGATCTCTCACCAGGAGGCTGAGCAGAAAACTTCCTGAAAGCACTAATCCTTTCTGAAGGCAGATATGAGGGGGGTGACAAACCCCTTTCCCTCCCACTGCCCTCCACCCTTCTGCCTATTTTCCGGGCAACCCCAGAATTCCCATGCACTCTGCTGAACTCAGACAGCCCCTGATCACTGGTGGCCTTCTGAGCATGACTTCACTCCTCCCAGATGGATGAATGGAATCTTCCACCCCAGGGTGACAATAGGGGTCCCTGGGAAGCCCATCTGGTTCAGAAGCCCCCTGCTGGGTAGAGTGGCTGGGTGGAGGAGCACTAGGGTCATGGCTGACTGCAAAGCTGGGTAGAGAAGGACCAGGGTCCTCACATGTCCCTCTGGGTTCCAGGCTGGCTTGCGTACACTGCATGACATCGGGCCTGAGATCCGAAGGGCCATCTCTGGAGATCTGACTGCCGAGGAAGAGCTGGACAAGGCCATGAAGGAGGCTGTGTCTGCTGCCTCCGAAGATGACATCTTTAGGGTAGGTGCTGAGAGTCACACTTTCTTTACCAAGTTCATCTTGAAGCAAAAGATGGGTGGGCTGGGGTTCTGCTAAGAAAAACCAGAAAGAAAGGCTTAACTCTGTGGTGACTCCAAGCCCTTCCGCTCAGCTGTCTCCTCATTCTGCAGAGGATGGCCTCTTCAAATCCGACTCCTTGTCACATCAGTCCTCTCAGGATGGCAGCTCTGAGCGTCATTGGCTCTCAGAGAACTGGGGAGGAGATATGTTCCTAAGGGCAATGTTTCCTGGGAGGAACTTCTACAGTAGGAGTTGCAGAGTGGTAGCCCGTGGGCCACCTCTAATCTGCTGACCTCTTTTGTTTGCTGATACTTGAACATCTGGCATATCCAAGTAAAAATTTGGACTTCTATCTTTTCGTGGAAAAAGTCAGAAGACCTGGCCATATTGTGCTTATGTTCCCACATGGTGGCAGAGGCCAGGACAGTGGTGGCTACTCTGTGGAGATGGGCATGTGCTATCTGGGTCACTGAGGTCCCCTCCAGGCCTCCCTCTCCTCTCCTAGAGACCAAGGCTGACCCATCAGTGGCAATTAAACCTGGCTGGGCCAGAAGACCACAACTCTTGCATTGGGCTCTCGTCACTCATTTGAGCTACCTGCCTCATCCCAAAGGAGTTTGGCTAAAATTTCTTCTATAGCGAGGGGGAAGCTACCAACCATGGTGGAACAGGGCCCTGTTGCACTTGTCCCCCAGCCCCGTGCCCAGCTCCTGGGCTGTAGAGCTAAAATCAGCCCATCCCATCTATGATTTCCTCCTGTCATCTTCATTCTCATTATATACCAAATGGCATCAGGGACATCAGGTGCCATGTTAACCACCCCACCAAGACCCTGGAAACTTGACCCTATAGTGGACAGACAAGGTTCCCACGGACTGTGCTTCTCTGCCCCGCCTGCCCAAGGTTTCTCCCTCAAAGAAGGAGAGGCAGTCAGGGGTCTTTTCCTCCACCCACTCTCCTGTCTTGCCTACAGAGGGCCGGGGGCCTGCTTGTCAACCATGTCAACTACTACCAAAGTGACAGCCGGGGCACCTTCCCACAGACCTTCACCACCCAGCGCCCACTGCACATCAACAAGGCGGGTAACAACCAAGGCGACACTGAATCGCCCTCCCACGAGAAACTAGTGGACTCCACTTTCACCCCCAGCAGCTACTCATCCACCGGCTCCAACGCCAACATCAACAATGCCAACAACACCGCCCTAGGCCGCTTCCCCCACCCCAGTGGCTACCCCAGCACAGTCAGCACCGTGGAGGGCCATGGGCCCCCCTTGTCTCCTGCCATCCGGGTGCAGGAGACTGCCTGGAAGCTCAACTCTAGGAGGTAAGCAGGAGGGTGGGCACCCTGCACCCTAGCCTAGGCCACACCAGGGTGGAGAACAATTTGGCCCTCAGGCCACCACCCAACCTTCAAGCCTCAGTTAGAGGCTGCTGCCCCAGAACCCAGCAAGAGACGTAGGGGCCAGGCTGCCACCCAAATCGAGCTCTTGGTTCAACATGGCAGCCACACACAGGATAAGCCAGCGTCATCCCATGGGCCAGCTGTTTCCTGAGGTGCCAGGCCTCTGACAGAGCCCCTCTCCCCTCAACCTTCCTGAGTGAATGCATACTGGGCTGTGATCCTCTGAGACATGTGAATCCGGGCTATGTGACAGAAACCATCCCCTCTACCCTTTCCCAAACCTCTGCCCAAACCTGGCCTTTCACTCACTTGGACAGGAAGGGTGTCTTTTCTTCAAAACCCCTCATCAGCCCCATCTTGCTTTCTGGTGGCAGGTGGCCCTTTTCTGTAGCACTGACCTATCTGCCCCAGAGTAGGATCATTCCTGGAGGTCTTAAGGGCGACTCCCACCTCCTGACTTGCTCTTTTCTCCCCACCTGGCCCTGTGCTGTAGGACACACTGCTATGAGATACTGGGACGGTAGGTGCCTCTTCTGTGCTCTGGGCCCCAGAAGTACAGCCTGGGCTGCCTGCTCCCCTCTGCAGCTCCAGGCTCCCCGAGGCCAAGGTGGGAGAGGACACTCCTCTGCTTCTTGCCACATCATCCTTGATTGCGCTGCTCTTCCAGAGTAGTATAGTGAGGCCCTAGGAGGCTGGACAGATCCCCAGCATACCAGGTTTTTGGGCAAATCACCTTTTTTCCTGCCCTCCAGCTCACATAGTAATCAAGAAATGTGAGTTTCTTGCTAAACCTCTGGACATGTGTCCTGAAGCTGCTTCCACCCAAGGAGCAGCATACTTGCCCACTAGTTTTCCTGTCCCTTCATAACACCCATCTCCAAGTGGCCATGCAGCCAGGTTCAAGGTCAGCCTCAGCAACTTAGCAAGGCTTTAAGCAACTCATTGAGACCCTGTCTCAATTTAAAAAATAAAAAGGCTGGGGATGTGTCTCAGTGGTAAAGTGCACCTAGGTTTGATCCCCAATACAAAAAAAGGTCACGTGGCCCCATCATGTGGGCACTTACCAGTATCTGATGCCAAGCAAGTTGCATTGGCCATCCATCCAATCTACTGTATGCTCTGGAAGACTGGCTGCTTTAACCACCCAACAGCAGTGTTGGGCGAGTCCTGAGTCTCAGGAGACACATACTGACCCCTTCTATGCTCAGGGCAATGTGCCCAGCACTAGATCTGTGTGCTGATCTGAAAAGCTGGCTTTGCATAGAAGATCAAGTTTAAGTGGCCTCCTAAGCCTGACTTGATGGCCCTTTCCCTTTTCTGCATCCCAGCTCCTCCTCCACAATCTTCAAGGACTCAATCAGAGTACCACATTCTCCCCTGTGCACCTTGTCTTCCTGAAGAAGGCTCTTTTTGTCCATCATTGGAATCCCAGTGTAAATTTAATTACCTCCCTTGAAGAGTATTTTCATATTAAATTTTGATCTATATTAAACAAGAGGAGACCTTTAGAGAGGAGCTGTGGAGCAGACATCAGGGGATTTTCTTCTCCCCCAGATGTATCTATCAGTGAAGTTTAACACACACACAGTGCCTACCTAGCACAGGGTAAGTGCTCATAAACTTCAGTTGCCTCTCTTCCCATGACAGTTGATAAAAACTGCAGGTGTTAAGCCTTAACCAGGTGAAGAGTAAACCCAGCCAGAGTTCCAGCTCTGGGCCTTGTCCTTTATGTCTCAGCTCAAGACTAAGGGCAGCTACAGTTCTGGCATTGCTTTTGCTAAGAATCAGAGACATGCTATCTACAGTGGCCTTCCTGCCCTCTATAGTATAGCCCAGGGCCTTCTTTAAAAGCCTTCATCAGCAGGTGCAGGAAGCAGAGGCCACAGTGGTTATGTCTCTGCATGCATGTGCATGGGTGACACCTCGCTTGCTGGGGCAGAGGAGGACAGCGGCAGTTCCTGATACTTTGGTCCCTTCTGGACACTATAGGTGCTCCTCCCGGGAGAGCCAGATAGCCATGGTGTGTCAGGAGGACATGTCTCGAGACGAGACCTACGACGTGAAGATGAGTGAAGAGGCTGAGTACTGCAGCGAACCCAGCCTCCTCTCCACAGAGATGTGAGCCCTGCGTCTCCTGCCCAGGCCACCCCGGGTGGAGGGAAGGATCTGGGAACACAGGGCAGGTCGTCAAAATCTCTCTCGTGGGCATGACTTGGGGAGGGGAGGAGATTGCACATCACTAAACCGTCTGTCATCTCAGTAGAGGAATGGGAAGCCCCGCATACCCCTCTCTCTCTCTCTCTCTCTCTCTCACACACACACACACACACACACACACACACACACTCACACACACACACAATCCCCTTTATCTTGGCCTTTCCTCATCATAAAATACTTCCAGGATAACTTCTCAACATTGTTTCTTAAACTTTTTAGCTGCAACCAGCAGCCATAACTATATTTTCTAGTGAGACTCAGAACACACATACATATATTAACATTTAAACAAATGTTTCATGAAACTGCTTATAATAAAGCTACCCAGAAGAGGGCACTGTTGGCAAAGCTAAGGCTGCTGGGTTGCCCTTGCTGGATGTATGGAGCAGGGCTTTAAAAATGCAGATCTAGATCCATTAGAAGGTTGCAATGTCCGTCCCTTTTAGAATAGACTAAATATACACTTATGAATAACTAAAAGAGAGGAACTTGAAGGCTCCAGACAGAGTAATGTTAAGGAGATGGAAAAGTTAATTATCCTGATTTGACCAGCACATCTGTACACATGTACTGAAATATCACACCAGGCCCCACAAATATGCGCAAGAAAAAAGTTTTAAATGTTTGAGAAGGAAATGTTAATGACCTGATTTGATCATTACACATTCTATATGTGTGTCAAAATCATCACATAAATATATGCTCTGTAAATATGTGCAAATTAAAATAATAATTAACAAAAATAAATAAGGACATGCTGTGCGGCATCCTGGGCCCCAGGACTTGCCCAGGGAATGGTGTTGAACAGTAGCAAGATCTCTCCCTTTTCCCTGGTTAATAGAAGGACATAAGGAGTGCAGAGAACATCGAAGTAGTGGTCAAGACAGTGACTTGCCTAATCAGATGACCTCCCCACACCTTCATGTCCCCCCCAGCAAATGTGGGGTGGGGAGTGAGATGCCTTTGTGACTCAATGGCAAAGGGTATAAAACCTAAAAAAATATCCAGAAACTCCTTGAGAGGTCTCATTCTCTAAACTGACTTTTAGAGAATGCCAATGGATACATGACCAATTATCCCAGAGATCAGGAAGATAATTTCTCTAATCCATTATGGCTCCTACTAAGTGCTTGGTACATCGGGCTGCTCTACTTGCCATGAAAAATAGCTTGGAACTCAAGACTATCTTACCAACTAGTTAGGAAGCTCAGAGGATCTCACAAGAGGGAAATAATATGGAGATTTTGTAACTAACTGCCCACAGAGTAGTACAAATGCTGAGAGGTACAGGCATTCAGAGAAGGTCAGGGGCTGGGTGACCACAGTATGTACCACATAAGTCAGACAGAGCTCTGTCTGCAAGAGTGGGATGACTTGGATAGGAAGAACATGTGAGGAGGAGGACTTACCTAGCTGAGAATGAGAGAAAGGTCTGGAGCCCTAAAACCGTGAGGTTTTCCTTCAGCAAATTTCCCTGTACTTCTACGAGGGCTCCCAGTCACTCACAGGAGCTGGGTGGAGTCAAAGAAAACAAAGGCTTTGCCCTCAAGAAGTGAGAGGTGCTGGAGGCTCAGTGGGACCCAACACATAGAAGGTCCTGGTTCATGTCTCCAGCACCACAAAACTCACAACGAAGTAAATCAATTCTTTTTTTAAAAGATTTGAGGGATAGCACCAGGGACAGAGGAAGGGACCTCATCTGACTGCAAGCTGACCCACTAGGGATTGTGAAATCACTTCGGTGGGTTGCAGTCAGCATTAGGAAAAAAAGAAAACAGACCAAAGTAGATGAAAAGTTGCCAGGACTGGGAGGAAGTGGGGAATGAGGGAGAAGTTTAGGCTAACAATGAGCATAGCCAAGGTCAATAGCATGAGCATATGTAAAGACTGGAGCCTAGACCTCTCCTGAGGAAACCTGTGAGCCTAGAATTTTTTCTAGCTTTCTCAACACCTTTGACCAAACAGTGATTCCAGTGCCTCAAATCAGACATGCAAGACTCAGAGCTGGGGGCAGGAAGCTCAGTGCTAGAGCACGGGCCGAGCACATGCCAGGTGTTGGCTTTGATCCCCAGCACCACACACATAACAAAGGCAAGGCTCATCAGACAGACAGCTGTGCGTAAAGAGCTAGGACTTCCAGCAAGCAGGCCTGTGATGCCAGAGAGCAGGGCAGAATTTCTTGGGGTGGCAAGTCCCTGATGCTCCTTCCCTAAACCTGTGTGGAAGCACAAGGGTGCAGTTGTTCCTTCACTAGGAAAAATGCAAACTGCTTTGTGGGGTGGCAGCTGTCTCCCTGGGTGGCGGTGCTCAGCCTCCAGGAACAAGCCCCAAGAGTTCTATTCCAGGCTCTCCTACCAGGATGATGAAAATCGACAGTTGACGCCTCCAGAGGAGGACAAGAGGGACGTCCGGCAATCTCCAAAGAGGGGTTTCCTCCGCTCTGCCTCACTAGGTAAAGACATACCTTGCTCTCCAGATGTGGCCAGTGGTCACCCCCAAGATGACATTGTCAGGTACCCAGGGATGATTGAGAAACTGCTCTGGCCTGGTCTAGGCAATCTCCATGCAGTGAGCTGGGAAGATTTCCAAAGCCATAAGACAGAATTCCAAAGGCAGAGCATGCTGGGATGGAATTTAAACATGTGCTACTCCATGTGTCTCAGAGATAAAGCAAGGGGTGAAGAGGAGTGTATCCAGGGCCACTGACACTACTCCTTGCAGCTACCTGGGCATGATTCTGTGTTGGTCAGCTTTCTCTTTGTGCAAAAAAATACCTGAGACAATCAAATTAATAGCTGGGCACAGCGGTGCATGCTTATATTCCCAGTGGTTCAGGAGGTTGAAGGAGGAGGATCATGATTCAAAGCTAGACTCAGCAAAAGCAAGGCACTAAGCAAAAATGAGGCCCTGTCTCTAAATAAAATACAAAATGGGGCTGGGGATGTGGCTCAGTGGTCAAGTGCCCCTGAGTTCAATCACTGGTACCAAAAAAGAAGAAGAAAAATTTATTTTGGCTCACAGTTTTAGAGGATACATGGACAGTTGGCCCCATTGCTTTTGGGTTTGGAGTAAGGCCATACATTATGGTGGAAACTCATGGCAAAACCATTCGCCTCCTGCCTGGGAAAGGAAAGAGAGAAAGAAAAAGAGACAGGCATCCTATAATCCCCTTCAGGACATACCACCAACAACATAAAACCTCTCACTAGGCCCCACCTCTTAAAGTTTCTACCTGATCCCAATACTGCCTTCATCAGGTGGGCCTTTGGGAGACATTCAAGATCCAAACAAGAGCAGAGTTGTCCCAGGCCAATGTACCCTTCTGCTGCCCTGATCCTGGTTCTTTGACTGCCCTTGCAGGTCGAAGGGCCTCCTTCCACCTGGAGTGTCTGAAGCGACAGAAGAATCAAGGGGGAGACATCTCTCAGAAGACAGTCCTACCCTTGCATCTGGTCCATCATCAGGTACCCACACTTTTGGACAGGCCACTGGCCACCACTTTGCAGGACAGATAGTCCCTAGAAGGATGGGAAAATCCTCAAGATACACATCAACCTTCCCTGTCTCAGACCACTGGTGGATCCTACCCCAGGCCCTAACAACTCCCAAGTAGGGCCACCCACTCCTCTGCAGGCAAAGGAGCCTCAGCAAGGTCTTTCATGCCTGAGTTAAGAGACCCAGAAATCCTAGTAAATAGGAACGCCCCACATAATCACAGATCCACAGGAGCTGCCGGATCCCTCCTGAGCTTTTTCCTTATGGTGCCACTAGTGTTCCCACCTTCAGACACTGGCTTACACAACATGCACTCAGGCAGATGTTGTCATACCTAGGATTTGAATACACCTGTAAGGTGGACTGCACAAAAATACATCCAATGATAGTAGTCAAAGCACCTGCCAACAGCACAGTCAAGAGTAGGAATGGTATCCAAGAAGAACAGAGCCAGGGAGATTCACTAGATAAAATGACTCTTGGCATGGCTGGCTTGAACTGAGATGGCACAATCCAGGGCACCAGTATCAAGTATATTCCCAGTTATAAAAATTTTGAAGAGCTATCAAGGCCAGTCCATCACCTCCAGGGAAAGTGGGATCTAAACCTGTTTACCTTTTTAATTCTAGACTCCCTTACCTTGGACCTATGCTCTAAATGACCTTTGTGTACCCAAAGGCATTCAACTGTCAATCAGAGCGTATAATCAACATACAATGACAGATGTGGCTCAGCTGAGTTATTCAATTCAAAGCAGTAGTTTTGCTTAGCCTTGGCATTACCTTAAAAGGATGGTTTCCACTGGGCATTCTGTAATATAGTGCCTCATACTTCCCTCAGGTCTCCAGGGACCCAGAAGTCCTAGGCTGGGAACCATGTGAGCTGGGGAAGGGAGGGTGGCAGGATGTGGGGACCCTGTGTGTGCTATTTTAAATGATTTCTAGAACTTGATTTCATCTGTCTGCCTTCATCATGCTGGTAGGCAGGTTTTTTTTCTTTATTTGTAGACTCCTCTTTGTGCCTTTCTGTCACCTCCCACCCTATGTTCTCATCTTCTCTGCTTCTCAGAACTGGACTTTCCCACCACCACCACCGAGTGTCATGCTCTCCCATGAACACATCACATCCAAGCAACTGACAATGCCGAGCAAGCCATGGTCCCTGACCTAGGGATGCTTGTGAACACTGGGGACAGAGGATGCAAACACACCAATCACTCAGTTACAACAGAGTATAAGATTTAAACAGTAATTCAAAGAGAGCCTGAGCTAGACAGTGGGAGGGCATTGTTAGCGACCTGAGTCATGGTAAAAATTGAAGCAACAACTACTGGTTTTGTATAGCTCTTTAAGATGGACATTGTACTTCTCGGTCCTTAATTCACTTAAATTTCTCACTGACCCCACAGGTAGATGAATGGAGATGATGCAAGATGGTAGAATCATCATTATTCTCTACTCTACTGATGAGAAAACCAAGAGCAAGAGAATTCAAAGCTAAAGGGTGTCAGGAACAGCCTAAATAGCAGACCATCTTGATTCAACACAATTGCAGCTTTCCAAAGCTACAAAAAAGCCATCACTTCAGATTGAGATGCTCATAAAATATATCTTGAAATTGTTGAAACTTATGCCAGGTCTCAGAGAGATAGAATTCAGTGGGTAAAGATAGTGGCAGTGTGGATTCCAACATGTGGAACACATTGGAAATTAACAGTTGCAAAGCTGCTTAGAAGGCAGAGGCCTCTCTTGCTTAGGGCCTGACCATTCCCAATAACTCTGCTCTTTGTGTGTCCACAGGCATTGGCAGTGGCGGGCCTGAGCCCCCTCCTCCAGAGAAGCCATTCCCCCACCACGTTCCCCAGGCCATGTGCCACACCCCCTGCCACACCTGGTACCCAAGCCTGGCCCCCACAGCCCATCCCAACCCTAAGGCTGGAAGGAGCCGAGTCCATCGAAAAACTCAACAGCAGCTTCCCGTCCATCCACTGTAGTTCCTGGTCTGAGGAGACCACCTCCTGTGGTGGGGGCAGCAACACCATCAGGAGAGCCCGGCCGGTCTCCCTCACGGTGCCCACTCAGGCTGCGGCCCCAGGGAGGCAGTTCCATGGCAGCGCCAGCAGCCTGGTAGAAGCGGTAAGTGAATCCAAGTGGCACCACCAACAGGGGGAGGGAGAAGCCAAGGGCAGCAAAGGGTCTTGGCATGGAGAAACACCAGGTTCTTTCCTGGATCATTGGATGTCAGGTCTCTGAATAGAAAGACCTTCCTTCTCAGGACCTGCAAAAGGGTCCAGAGTGCAGATCATTATGGGATGCCGCTGGCTTTGTTGAGGCTTGGCGATGCAGAGGGAGAAAGAGACCAATAAGTGATGGGTCCTGTTACAGGCAGTGAACCCTGAAAAGCCCAACCATGTGCTGTGACTACTCACAACACATACATGAGCTCCGGCTGCTTTTGTGCATAGAGGGTCAAGATCTTTGGTTCTCTGCCCTGACTGCTCAGGAGGGTCACTGACAAAGCTCTGGAAACCTATGACAAACAGATTTTTCCAAAGCTCTTTAATAATTCTAATATACAACCAGGATTGGGAGTCACTGTTTTAGCACGAGAATCTCAATTCCACTCTCCTCTGCCTGGCACCACATTTTAGGGGAGCTTTGACATACTGGAACAAAATCAAAGGAGACCAGGAAGACCAGCTTGCTAAAAAAAAAAACCTCTTCATAGGAAGAGCGCCTAAGGGAATGAGAGAAATAAATCCGGAGGAAGCCATTGAAGAGGCTGTGACATTGTTCTCTCCATCTCTCCCCCACAGGTCTTGATTTCAGAAGGACTGGGGCAGTTTGCTCAAGACCCCAAGTTCATCGAGGTCACGACCCAGGAGCTGGCGGACGCCTGCGACATGACAATAGAGGAGATGGAGAACGCGGCCGACAGCATCCTCAGTGGGGGCGCGCAGCAGAGCCCCAATGGCACCCTACTACCTTTTGTGAACTGCAGGGACCCGGGGCAGGACAGGGCGGGCGGCGAGGAGGACGGGAGCTGTGCGCGCGCCCTGGGGCGAGGCCGGAGCGAGGAGGAGCTCCAGGACAGCAGGGTCTACGTCAGCAGCCTGTAGTCGCAGGGCTGGGAGACGCCGGGTTTTTTATTTGTTTCAATGTTCCTAATGGGTTCGTTTCAGAAGTGCCTCACTGTTCTCGTGACCTGGAGTTAACCGGAACAGCGTCTTCATTCATTTCTGTTGGGACAAGACGCAGAGCTGGGTGGTGTGAGAGCCCGCTTTTCAGGGGGAAGAGAAGCCGCGAGGCAGTGTGTGTCCACCGAGCGACAGGCGAGAAGCGGGCAGAAGAATCTCGGCGGCGAGCAAGGCCCACGCGCCGCCCTGCGCTGTCAACCCTGCGCCGGGTCCGGCGTCGCCTCCGGGGCCCGAGAGGACCTACACTCCCTGCGGCGGCTCGCTCAGAAAGGACCCTCGAGCAAACGGGTGTCTTTCAACTTCGCTTGTAAAAAATCATTTGCACACATTCTGTATGAGCCTCACTGTCCCCATAGAGCCAGGCCCTGTGCATTTGGAGAAGGAGAGGGGTGTGACTTCCAGCAAGAGCCCAGCCTACTGGAGAGGGTAGAGCGGAGGAGACAGCAGCGCTGGGGGACAGGCGCGCAGGGCCCGGGACGCGGGCATAGTGGCGGCTTCACCCCGAGTCCCGCGGCTGCAGCCCCGGCCACCTCCGCTCGCCGCGACAGGATCCTTTTGCCTGCACAAGCCACGCGAGCTGCAGACCAGAGCCCGGCCAGCGTCAGCGCGAGCCAGGACAGGACCGAGCTGGCGCTGCCCGGGGATGGGGCCGCCAGCTCTCACCGAAGGAGGTGGTGCTGAGCTTCCCTTGAGCGCTCTTTTGTTTTGTGGTTTGACATTTTTCTTGACAGCATGTTGCAGTTTTTCTTTTTTCTTTTTTTTTTTTTTTCTGGTTTTTATTTTTGTTTTCCCGGGGGGGGGGCGGGGGGAAGGAAGAGGAGCGTTTACAAGTTTTGTAGCCACCCACCTTACCGTTTTCACTTTTGCATCTGTAAACCAGGTTTGGTTTTACTGTATTCGTTAAACAGTTGCAGATTTCCTTTTTCCATTGAGGGAGGGTTCAATAGCCACTGTAGGAGAGTTTTACCAGCCATCGTGTATGCCCTATAATTTGTTATAATTTCCTTAGGTAGTAACAATTTTTCTTTCTGGTTTGGTTTGGTTTTATAATTTAAAGGTAATTGGCAATGCACTTGATAGGTCTTGCACAAACGGGCGATTGGGGTTGGTTTCCTTACGCTGGGTGTGTTAGTGGGTGCAGGAGAGAGGAAGTATGAGAGAGTGTGTGTTGGGCGTGTGTGTGTGTAGTGGGTTGTCTGTGTGCATGTGTCTATGTTGTACGTGTGTATATGCACCCACTCAGTGTGCCCATGCACACAGGTGAGTGCAGAGTTTCCCCTTTCTGGCTTAACTGTGGGGAGATCTGAATCTAGGGCCATTTGAAAGCAAAAACAAACCACTGTCTCTGCTTCTGAAACGGGAATCAGTAACTCTTTGCATTTTCTGTCCCACAAGATATGCAAAAACAATGCAATAATATTCATTTTAAAAATACAATTGTGAGTCGTGTTGGCATTAGAACTGTATTTAAAAAAAAACACAGAAATTTAAGAAAAAAAAACTCAAGAAGGCATTTTGCTTCGATATATTCCGTGTAATGTTTTATTGCATTGATAATGTTTCTGTTGAAGAAACCGTTATACTTGAATTCAGGTCAGTTTCAGTATTTTTCAAATATTTTTTTAAAACTGAATTGCAATTGTGCCAAGCGAATATAATGAATTAAGTTTGTTTTTGAATCACTTCTTGTATATTTTGCTGCATGTAAAGTAAATCATTTTGTATTTGGAGTGTGACAAGCTTTACCTTTGAACTCAAGTGCTTTTCTATGTGTGGTTGGGGGAAAGGGAAGGATTTTTCTTTTCACTAGTACAATGCACAAAGGTATCCCCGGCATAAGTCATTACTCTGCTATCCACAAACAGGTTCAGACATGACTGTTTTGCATATCTTGTGTTCACTTCCATTTCCATCCATTCTTCCAAACTCCTATGATAGCTATATGTGTACCACGTCTTGCTTTAGGAGACCAGGACATCCTCTCATTCAGGTCTTTACTCTCTCCTCCCTGCTGTGGTTCTCTGACTCAGTACTTGTCCAAGAGCAGCTTCCCCATGATGTGCAGTGAGGCTTCAGCATCCCCCTAGGAAGAGGTGGCTGGCTTTTCTGGTCACTCCCACAGCACAAAGGTTTGGATTCCTTAGTAACTCCCACACTGACAGAGGATGAAATTAAGGTCAGGCTAGTGGGTGGGGAGGGGTAGCCTCCCTTCAGACAACTGGTCTACCCAATTGTAGCTAGCCCTACTAGAAAGAGGAAATTGGGTGAATTCTTGATCCTTACAGAAGTCACTTCCTGTCAGACTCACTTCATCCTTTCCTCACTCTAGAGCAGGATTCCCTCCAGACCCACTCTAACTATGTGGCAGTGAAGGGGGGACCCCAACAAGGGAGAGAGCATCAGGAATTCACAGTGGAGGAGGAAATAGATTTTGTGGGGGCACCTCTTATGCTCTTTGGCACTTACCTGGAGCATCACCCTGTTAGTGCTGTGTCCTTCAATTACACCAAGGATAGTTGAAAAGTGATAGTTGACTGTTTGGGAGAAAATAGACCAACAGTTAACTCAGAATTTACCCGCTGGTTAGAAATTGCAGGAAGGGGGCAGCACATTCCTTGGTGAAGATGAGTTGTATTCTCACGAACTGATTCATGAAAACATGGAAAAATACACCCAATACTCTTGAGTTAACCAGAGTCTAGAAACATTGCTTCTTCATGGCTTTCCACACCCAGCCCACCCAGACACTCATGGTTCCTTTCAGTACTGACAAGGTCTTCTAGAAATTAAGATCAGGTGTCATTCTTTATCCAGTTTCCCAAAATTTCTGAGATTGTGGTTATGATGGAGAGGGGAGCCCTTTTCAATTGATATCTGGTTCTTGCTTACATTTGGCCCCTAGATAGAAATTCAGAGTTTTGATTGATCCTACACAGGTATGCACCTACATGCACACTCAACCTTTTCCTTTTGCCTCTCTATTCCTTTTGAATTTCCAGCCTTTGTCACCAAGTGTCATTGTGCAATGGCATGGGCTGCAGGCTGGGCTCCTGACAGCTCCTTGTGTCCTACCCAATGTGGTTCCACAGTCTTGCATGCACAAGGCTCTGGGTTCAATCCCCAGCAACACACACACACACACACACACCAGTGAGGTTCCCCTGTCCTTCACCCTCACCTCCATGGTCTGCCTTCTCCATAGCCAACACAGGGAGGAAGACTAGAATGATCTTCTCCCTGCACCTGACAAGAATGGCATCAGCAGAGATAGGCATGGTGGCACAGGCCTGTAATCCTAGCAACTCAGGAAGCTGAGGCAGGAAGATCACAGGTTAGAGTCCAGCCTCCATAAATCAGTTCGTGAGATCTGGTCTCAAAATAAACACTAAAAAGGGCAGGGGCTGGGGGTTGTAGCTCAGTGATAGAGCATCCATTGGTTCAGTCCCCAGTACTACCAAAATATAAAAATAAAATAAAGAGTGGCATCATCGGGAACATGTCATCCTTGCCCTTTGGTGCCAGGAAGGAAAGGGGTGCAAATGAGCACTCCCTCTCCAGGGCAATGAGTGTTTCTTAGCTTGGCTTAGTGTAAGACTGGCACTTGGTGCTTGTCACCAAGATGGACTGGTGCAAGAAGTACTTATGATGGAGAGGGGACCCCTTTGAAACCAGTGAGCCACATCCACAACGGATTGAGTATGTCTACTCTCCACATGTCATTCTTCTGACATCCCCTGAGAGCCAAGAGAAAAGCATCCAGTGACTGAGGACCCAAGGGACTTGAAGGAGTGCAGTTACATTCTGAAATTTGGCAAGCTTCATTTTTCTTCTGACTAGTCCTGTCTCTTCTATTTCCACACCTTGATCTTCAATAGTTTTTCACTATGTGAAAACTATTGCATAGACACATTAAGCAGAAAGAATTCCAGCTGTCTCCTTTCTGCCTGATTCTAGACAGTTCTTTGGGTCTTGAGAAGAGGGAGAATTTTTTCTGGGTTTCTGCCTGATTCGTGAACTTTCCCCTGTTTTGGTTCAGCAGCTCTTAGGCATATCCCTCTTCCCACTTCCTAACCTCAGGCTTTCCTTTAACTAGAATAATCAAGGTCAGGTGCAAGTTTGTGTCATTTACCTTCCTCTTTTTCCCTGGCTCCAAATTCTGTGTGCCTATCACTTCCTCATAGCCCTTCTCCATCCAGGACTGACCAGCTGAAGGCAGGAGGGCACCTGCTGGAGTGTGCCTTCCTGTGGCAAAGTCATGTCCTTGTGAGGATTAGAACACCCTGAGGAGGAAACTGGAAGTCAGCAGGGGATGGTGGCTGTTCTACAGGGACAGTTGATCCACCCCACCACTCCCAGAGACAGAGAAATAGAGGATTTAGGTTAGGTGTGTGTGTGGAACCCTGGTGGTCAGGGTTTTAGCCTCATGAACCCATATTGGAAATGTTGCCAAAGGAGGACAATGTCACCTCTGACCTTGGGGACCTAGAATAATTGAAATCTCATTGTCTAGGATTTAGAAACTCTTTAGCAAAGAAGCTAAGAAAGGGTTCTCTGACCTCCAGAAGAGCTGCTCAAAACCCAGGGAGTCAAAACTTGCTATTAGAGTCCAGGCCAATTCTGCTTTTTAAAGACCTGGCTCTGAGAGAAACGTCCCAGCATGGATAACCAGAAGTCGAGGCAAGAGAAGGGCAGGTGTTGACTCCCCAGGAGTCTGTTCCCATTTTATGGAAAGAAATGCTCAGTTTAGCCACCCATAATGACCAGTACCATAGAGAGGCTGGTGCCTCAAGGATCTACTTCAGAAAATGAGAAAAATACAATTCCAACTCAGTGTTGTCTTCCCTGCCAAGCCAGGTCACCTGGCAGACGCCCCTCCCCTGCATTAGCCAGTGATTGCCTGAAACAGGCTCCTGTCAAGGGACAGAGAAGCCTGATATCAGCCACCCAAGGCCGGGTTCTCCAGCAGCTGCTTGTTGAGGTGATATAAAGGAAGGCTGTGAAGGGGGGGTAACCTACGAGTGTCAGGGATGAGGGACGGTGCACCTTTGCCCCTTCCTAAGAAGTCCTCTGTCCTCCCCGCCTCCCCAACTTCCCGCTGTCCTCCTCCCTTCAGCCTAGTGAGAGACAGAGTTGAAAAGAGTCCCTGTGCATTTTTACACTGTTTTCTGTTTTAACTTATGTATTATTTATTAATTATTTTTCAAACCAACGAAACATTGTTTTGTGGCACCAGATACCAACACAAAAAGTCAACAGGTTTCTACCAGATTCCCAGTGTTGGGGAGACACTTGAATCCCTCTCTCTCTCTCTCTCTCTCTCTCTCTCTCACACACACACACACACACACACACACACCCCATAAGGCACCAGCACTGGGGTTGAGCTCCTGTGATTAGTGACTTTTCCACAGAAGGCTAAGGACCCTGTAGAGGGGACCCAGAGAGAACCAGAGCAACTTCCTTGGGTGACACAGTGCCATCCAAACCTATTATCATCATGGAATAAATATCAATTATCTGCCCTGAGGAAATACTACCACTCCTAAAATCGACACTTTCTCCTACAATGACTCCAGGAGTTTGACCCACAGCACATGAGCTGGGAAAGACCTGGACTCTGGTGTATCAGAAAGCCTTTTAATCCATCTCTGAAGGGAAGTGGAGATGGCAGCTGGATGTGCCCAGCATGGTGGAGTAGTGCAACCCCGAGAGGAGACAGAGCTGGGGTTTCTCAGGAAAATTCTCTAAAGTCCCTAACAAAAACAGAACACAGGACAAAGGCCAGGTAATTAGAGAAAAGTTTCATATTCCTGTCACCAGAGCCAAATCCTCTCCCTTCAGATTAGGTACTGGCTCCTGTAGGGGTACCCCACTTTGTGGAGCATCCCATGCACCCCAATGCTCAGAATCTAAATAATTTGGCTTGTGTGAACCTTCCAGAGTGGGTAACATGACATTCATGTCAACTTTCCAACTAAAATATCACTCATGGACTTCCTCAAGGTCAGAGAAGGCTCTGGTGGGAGAGGGTGTAGGTTTTAAGAGAAGGTAATTTCTATGTGAAGAAATGCAGAAATGGACCAAATGGTTCTTGTCGCTCCATGGGCCTGGAGAATTCCTGCCTGGTATTCTTAGAGCCCTCAAGTTTATATGCAGGAGGTTAAGGAAGAGGAGGGTGAGCAGGCACCAGGTAAGCAGGGGTTCGCTTGCCACAGCATCTGAGGGTGCAGGTTTCAGACCCCCTTGAAGCAGTGTCTCCTGAACTGTCAGGAGAGGAGAAGGGAGCCATCCTCTTTCTGTAGAGCATAAAAGGGGCAAAAGAGGATGGGTCACCAGATGCTGTACCAAGCCCTCCCCCGAGGCTTCCCAACATGGAGAAACTACACAAGTTGGGCAGGGGACTTGAGAACCAAGGACAGATGGTCTGTAAATTAACAGAGCTGTGCAAAGGGCTCCCTCAGAAGGCCTCTTAGAGGTCAAAAGCTATGGGCACTTCCTGCTTCCACACACCACCCCACCCTGCATCAGCTCATCCCACCACCCCAACTTGGAATCCATTTCTCAGCTTCCCTACCCGACCATGTGCCATCTGCATCCCGCCCCTCCCAGAACACATGCTGTTCTCCTATTACATACAGGGACAGAGGTTCTGCACTGAGACAGGCCATGAGTGATGAAGGAATAACCAGGTTTGGACATATCTGTGATGGTCACCACCTGGAACAACCTGTAAAACACACAAGATAGAGGGTGACAGATCCCCAGTGGGTGACGCACTGGAATGACTATTACTTTCAAAACATTGCTGTTTTATTTCAACATGCTAGAGCTACCAAGCAAAACTTCCCTCCATGTGAGAGAGTCCAGATGAAGCCTGTCTATCCTGTCCTCATGTCCTCCTGCTTGGACCACCTTCATGCCCCCAACCCAATCTGTATCATACCTGTTCTCAGAGGGGTGCCGAGAGGTGGACAGTGCCCCCTGTCACATCCCACACCTGCACACCCCCACTCCTGCCCCTCCAGGCTCCACGACCTCACAGTCTGCCTGTTGTAAATACTGCTGTACAGTTTGTAATCAGACCATCCCGTTGTGAAAGGTCTCGCCTGCTAAGCCTTCTCGCCCTTGAGCAAGGCCAGGGATCTAGAAGGGGAAACCTTTCCAGAAGAGCTTCAGGGTCATCTCTGTGTGAGAAGCTATTGTATATTCCTGTAAGATTGCATTTTTATCTACGGAATGATGTTATTTAAAAAACAAACAAAAAAAAAACACAAAAAATAAGAATTGCAAATAAATTTCTTAACAATGTCTATCTTGGTTTAATTGTTTCCTTCCCTCTCCTGTATCCCTTCTTTATTCCTGTTTCTTAGAGTTCACAAAAATATACTAAATCTCAGTTAATCTCACTTGTCTCAGATCCTCCAAAGGGAAGGAAGACTGGAGCAAACTTGGTCACCTGAATCCAAGCATTACACCTCACTTCATGTCAGCAATTAATCTCTCTGTTCACTTCCTCCCTGCAGTGAAAAGGTTAATGGAAAAATGGCCAAAGACTGAAAAGTAGGCAGGCCAGGAGGAATGAAGTGGATAATTCATGGAATGGGAGAGCTGGGAAAACTAAAATGGCTTGAAGGGAGGAAGGAAAGAAGGGTGGAGGCCAGGAATACAGGGGGAAGAAAGGAGGAGGGAGATAAGAGAGTGCATGAAGGGCTTTGAAGGCTACAAAGTGCAGGGTATTTTTGTTGTTGTTGTTCTTATAACTTGAACTGGCTCAAAGTTTCCAGAAGAGTTCTCTGTGAGAAAACACTTTGTTCCAGAGGATTCTGGGAAGACGGGAAAGTAGGCAGTCCCAGGAATCTGTCTTCCCATGTGTCATCCTTGAAAGAAAAGAGGACAGTAAAACGCAATGTCCCTGAAACACCCCCTTTCCATTCCCAAGAACCTTGGCAAGAACCTTGGAGCAATGAGAGGGGCCCAGACTGGGACGTCCAGACAAGTGTTGCCTTAAGCTCTCCCCCACCCCCTCTCCTTCTCATTTTGTTTCTTTTATTTATATTTTCCTCCTCCTTCTATAGCCCTCACTTGCTGCATCTCTTCTTCTTTATCTCTGCTCACATCTTGAACATTCTTTTATTTGCTACCCCATTTCCTTCTCTCTTAATGAACCATATTTTCACCATCTTTTAGAACTATTCAGTTCTGAAACTAAACCATTCACATTGCGGTTATTAGTACTGTGGGTGGCATAGCCGACACCTGCTGTGACATACTTTACCACATCTAGTTCACAGCTATTTATTATTGTGGTTGCTATTGGCAGGCCTTTCCATTCCTGTTTTGGTGGTGGTGTTGTCGACGACCCAGGAGACACCCGTTGTTTGTTTTAATGCTGGATATTGTTGACTGCTCTTGCTGCTATTGTTTGTTTTCCCCTTTACTGTGAGGTACTGGGAATCCACTGGGTTATTGTGAGTTCAGAGGGTAGAGACCCAACCAATGAGCTCTACCCACAACTCCACACACTAACTACACTCAAACTTCAATTATACTTTAATAAAAAGAATAGGGTAGGAAAAAAGCTACTCTGAAAACCAGGCCACAAGTAGGAATGGCTGGTGTGTGGCGGGGGATACTCAGGTCCCACTCATTGACACTGCTTCATAACAAAATGAAGAGAAATAACACAAAGAATATGGACTGCACACCTATGAGAGGTCTCACTCTAGGTCACTTTCTTATGCCTCCAGTTCAGTGCCATAACAGAGTTCTTTAGTCTATAAGATCAATCACAGAAGATTTATCCCACATACTCTGCTGAATACAGCACAATTGCCTGATCTACAAAAATGACCCCACTCTGTTGAGACCTATAGGGGAATTGTAATCCTCAAGCTCTGACACCATACACACTGTATCAAAATATTCCTAATCATCACAAAAGAACCAACAGGGAAACCATACTACAAAACCTACTTGAAAATATGTTGAAGAAAATCATGGTAACCTCATGTCCCAGAACACTTTACCAAGAGAATTCTATGCCCTCAAAAGGCCCACATAAAAGAGAAATTCATCCCAACAGATGCACAAATCTCAAAACTAATATAAGAAATAAAAAAACAAGGTAACATGAAACCTCCTAAAGTTTATAATTCACTAGCAACTGACTCCAAAGACACTGAAGTGGATGAAATACCACATAAAGAATTCAAAAGAATGACTATTTTTAAAAATCAATTAATTTCAAGAGAACACAGAAAAACAACTGAATGAACTTAGGAATAGGATATGAATAAGATATTCAATAACAAGACAGAGAAATTGAAGAAGAACCAACAAGAATCTTGAAAGTAAAAGGCTCAGTAAATCAAATAAAATGTTCAGTTCTACTCTCTAATAGAGTAGAACATGCAGAAGATGAATCTCAGAGCTGGAAGACAAAGTGGACAGGTTTGAATATTCAGACAGCATTAAAGAGAAAAAAAAAAAAACAAGTAACCATGACCAGAATATACACGAATTAAGGGGATAACATTACTAGACCAAATTTAAGAATCACTGGAATTGAAGAGGGTTATAAAATGCAGGATAAATTGCATGCATAAACTCTTTAGGGAAATAATACACCCCCTCCCCCCAAAATTCCAAATCTTGAGAATGAGATGGACATCCAGATATAGGAGTCATTCAGAACTACAAACAAACAAGATTAAAAATGTATCCCTCCAGAACACATTATAATTAAAATGCCTAACATACAGAATTTTAAAATGCTCAGGAGAAAAAAAAAATCAGGTCACATTTAGAGGTAAGCCAATAAGAATTACTTCTGACTTTTCGGTATGATCTCTATACTCTAGGAAGTCCTGGAATGATGTATCCTGACCCTGAAAGAAGAGAGCTACAACCAAGACTGCTATATTGAGCAAAGCTATCCTTCAGAATTAAAGAAGAAATTAATACAATCAAAGATAAGAAGAAACTGAAATAACTCGTTAAAACCAGTTCATGCCTATTATCCCAGTGATTCAGGAGGCTAAAACAGGAGGCAAAGAAAGCCTCAGCAACTAAGTGAAGCCCTAAACAACTCATCAAGACCCTGTCTCATATATTTTTTTTAATTTTGAGACAGGGTCTTGATGAGTTGTGTAGGGCTTCTCTTTAAAAAATAAAAAGGGCTGGGGATGTGACTCGGTGGTTAAGCACCCCTGGGTTCAATCCTTGGCTGCTGCTAATAATAATAATAATATGCCAGCACTACAGAAAATACTTAAACCCTACACACAGAAGTAAAAAACAAAATCCAGAGCATCCAAAACAAACCACATTTAAAGAGTAGCTAAGCAAATGGGAATAA